TGAAATATTGTATGCATTTAGAACTTGTTGAACTGCATCTGAATATAAAAAAATATTATATATATAGCAGTCATAATTCCACAGATACAATCTATTTAAAAGTTATGAAATGGGTCTATAAATGAAAAGGATGTATGCAAAAAGCTGTGAAAAATACGTTTTTTTACTTTAAATTACGATTTCTCAAAAAATTCTTTCCACTTAAAGAAGATGGGACAATAAGGCCCTTTTTGGCCCAAATATTAGTGCAAATTAAAAAAGTTACCATACATATTCCAGTGTTCTCCATTTTTCACTAAGGTAAGGTGGGTGTTTTGAAAAAATCACTTGCAACCGGTTGGTTTTTTTTGTTTTAACATTTCCAACCGGGTTTTATTTTACTGTTTTTGGGGACACAAAAAGAAGGATTAGTATTGTATTCACATTTAATAAAATTGAACCGTTCTTCTGCTATCACTGCTAGCCTTTCATTTGACAAATTAGTTTTTTCGCATCTCGGATAGCAGATATGGCTTTTGCAGGACTCCCTTCTCCTGCATATGCATTGCTTATTGATCCAAGTTTCTGTCCTGTTCCTCGCTTTAGTGTTGTATTTTTGGCACACAGAACAGAAATATCCTCCTTCTGTGCCGATTAGCCATTTAAAGTCCTATTCATATTTATCAGCTTGGGAACAACCCCTCAAATGAGGGGTAACCTCTTAATGTAATGACTATCCCTTTTATGAGGGGTACATTTCACGAGATACAAATGAGCACATATTTATTTTAATTACAGAAACTTTTCCCAAAGAACTATACATCTATTTTGTATTATATGGTCAAAACATGTAAGAATTTTGTAATATTGCTGGACTTCTATCTTCTTTATCATTAAAAATAATGGGACCCTCTTAAAAAAGTTGTTCCAAACATAACAATTTTTTCCCCCTTTTAAGTTAAAAAATCTTAAGTTTTTCTCTTTTCTTTTCTTCAACAGTATTAACATGACCTCTTGCCAGAGAGACAGTCCCTCATTTAAGGGATATCCCTCATTTGGGGGATTGACCGATTGTTCCAGTTCCAACCTGTTCATCTTTGCGATCGCTTGCGTGCCTTTTCCGTTGTTTTGATACTTTTTTTTCAATTTCAACAATTTCAATACAACTATCCGTTTTAGTTGACTTATTTGGCCTAGAATTTTCCTTATCACCATCGTCATCTGCCTTTCTCTTCCCCCGATTAATAAAAGAAAACATTGAAATTTGACGATCCGCCATTTTTGTGAAAAATCGTTAGGTTGTAAAATTTTTATTTATTCATATTGGTAAATCAAAGTGCCGTAATTTGTAACGTGTGAATAATATTATTTTTTTTTTTTTTTTTAATATCTTTTAAAATATCATCAAAGACATTATAAACTTTTATTTTATTCACTTTAACTAACTAATTTTATTTTAAAATTATATATTTTTCATATCGTAAATATAAAAATATCCGCTTTTTCGGTTAAGTATTTAAAATTTTAATACTCATTCGATAAGTGGAGTGCTCCGATAAAACGGAGGAATATACCAGAACAGAACAGAACAGAACAATGAAAACAAATCAGCGAGGAGCGATTAGTATTTAAATTTTTACGGTGCGAAACCGAAAAAAATCCGGAATTTGAAAAAAAAGCCGACCACCTCCTAAAATGGAAAGGTGGTTGGCTTTCAAAAGAAGGTGGTCGGCACACCCAGCTTAAATGCCGAATGGAAAACACTGTATTCTTAAATTTTTTAAAATTAAACTACACTAAAATACCAGGTGTTCAGAAAATAAAAAACAAATTTCACATTTAACAGGTCACCATGCCAACAAACCATTACAAAATTTGTATATTTTGTAAAGTGATTTTCCATGTTTTACATCACAAGAAACAACTTTATACTTGCTGAGAATATGTCAATAGTTATACTAAGCTTCACTAAAATTATTTTGTTGTTTCTTGCCTGTGCACAATGTTTCCACAAAGAAATAATGATGGATGCAGTTTTCTTTGTTTTCATGAAAATGGTGCATATTATGACATAATTGTGACGTCATAACATAAAAAATCCTCTGAAATTCATATATTTATTCATTTTACACATTTCCAAACATTATGAGCTAATTTGAAATAGTCCCGAAAACTTTATTTTTCGTAGGCCAACACTGGGCCTTAATACCCTTATTCCTTTTGATTAAAAATGATATGATATTTTTGTAACATTTCCATTCTAATAATACGAAAATATAAGGTGGCCACCTGATTTGTTTATTCAGTAGTTTTCAATTTATCTTGATAGGTAGCGTGAAAATAAAGGTCAAAAGGACAAAATAGTCACAACTTAGTGACGGAGCCACGCTCCAGATTTGTATTATATTATGTTTTTTTCAAAAAACTTTAATGCGTCATCAAAGTTACTAAATTTCTTCTCAATTTCAAAGAGGCTGTCCCTTTGATATTTCTGAACATTTAAAGTACAAGATACCCAAATTTCTTAATGCATTTTTTTAAAGCATGTATTGTCATGTCAATACTTTCTCTGCAATTTTTAATCAAGATCAGAAAAAGTTTTTCTTTGTTCTAAAGTACAAAGCATATTCTTAATTTCTTGTATTTTCGCTTCATATTTTAAAGACATCATATTTAATTCTTGAAAATGTTTACACCACTCATCAGCTGAAATAATACTATCACTTAACAATTTCTTTCCATCTTCATATTTCAATTTATTCAAAAGTTCTAAATATTTTTATGGATCATTTTAAAATAAATTATCCAACTTTTGAATTATTTCCAGCTTATATTGCCTGTACTGTAACTTACACTTTTACCATATAATTTAACGAAATTTGAAAAATATTCCTCTTATAACTGGATCACTTGGAAATCTTGCAATCATTTTACTTTTTTTATCTAATTATTTCCACATACTACTTAAACCTTTATAAAACCATGGCTTGTGCTATATTATAATCATGGATGCATGATCTTATTTGTAGGGTATCAAACAAAATGATAAGGGTGGGCTGTATGATGTCAAACTTTAAATACATTACAGTCATTTTAGTTTTCTTTATATCTACATGTTGATATTTTAAGGCACAATATATATATCATATACAAAATTAATTCATCTTCAAATTCATATGACAGTCATATTTCATTCATTGATAAAAAGTCACTGCTATTATCTTATGATAAATATGTATAACTAGCCTAAAATTTAATTAATAAAAAAGAGTGGAATGGACAATGCCATAATGAATACACTCCTAAATTCACTTTTAGCTTACTTATGTTACTAGCAAAATGAAATAAAATAAAATAAAAAAACAAATAAACAAACAAACCAAAGACAGACTGTTCTTGTCGTAATAAATAATTCTTTCCTTTAATTTTCTTCTATTTTTGGCTTAGAAAAGAAATGAGTGTAGGCTGTAACATAAACATTTTTCTTTCAAATGGGAAGGTCTGATATACAAAAAATCAGATGCGTAAATGATTAATGTTGAAAAATCTTGGAATATCTTATCATGGCTTTATTTAAAGAATTAATAAATAATAAACTGTTGACACAGAGATATGTCTTGCCTGTCAGCATAAAATTCAGAAAAAGACAATCTGATGGACAATACCTTGCTTATTAATTCAGTTGCTGGACCATGATCTAGTGGACAGGGCCTGAAAATGGTCAACAAATTGAGATGTACAGACAGTAATGTAACTTTATAGAAAATATTGTAGTCGATTGTAAGTAGTTCTGATCAATCTAACTTAAGCAAAAAACTTAACATTGAAAATTGCTAATTAATTCAAAGTGACTGGACCATGTCCTAGGGGACAGGGCCTCAAAATAATCGTCAAACTGATATGTATTGATAGTAATGCAACTTTATACAAAATATCATTGATCTATCACAAGTAGCTCCTATCAAAATGACTTAAGCAGAAAACTTAACATTGAAAATTGCTAATTAATTCAGTCACTGGACCATGTCCTAGGGGACAGGTCCTCAAAATAGTCGTCAAACTGATATATACTGACAGTAATGCGACTTCATACAAAATATCATTGATTGATTACAAGTAGATCATATCAAACAAACCTAAGCAGAAAACTTAACATAGAAAGTTACTAACAAATTCAAAGTCACTGGACCATGAACTAGGGGGTAGGGCTTCAAAATAGTCATCAAACTGATATGTACTAATAGTAATGCAACTTTATATCAAATATCAATGATCTATCACAAGTAGTTCCTATCAAACTAACATAAGCAGAAAACTTAACAATTGTTGACGTCGTCGTCATTGTCACCAGAAAAGCAATCCCTGTCTTGCTTTCTGCGACTTTCGTTGCAGACGACACAAAAAATGGAAAATATCTATAAAGTATAAATCCTAATTAACATACCAACATGCTCAGTTGTATTTTTTGTTTGTTCTAGTTTACTAACAATACACAAAAAAAAAACATGCATTATTTTTTTTTACCTCAAACAGGTGCTAGGTGCTGTCTTTAACCTTGCAGTGAGACATGAGCATTTGTTCTGTGTTGAAGGTCTCATTATAATTTTGAGATGAAGAATAAAAATAAAAAAGATGTTTGCTTTGGGTTTTGTCAAGTGTGTGTTATTGTGTTGTGAATAAATACACATCATCCCTTCTTCCGCATTAGATGTGAGACAGTCAACCTTTTTTTGCCCCCATATTAGCTGTACATGTTCAAGTTCAGATAGTATAGTGTTTCTAATTATAAACCTGGAGGAAAATATGCCAAACCCCATGCCTCATGCAATTAAAAAGATGATATGAAATTACAAGAAAATAAGCAAGCAAAACTGCAGCAGTTGATATATATTCAAGTAGAAATAAGATCTGTGTGATCAAAATGAATCCATCAATTTCTTTTAAAAACCATAAAAAATGGGATAAGGCTGTGTTGAAGATATACATATATAAGCATTGGGTGAACTGGGTAATGTACTCACGATTCTTCTGATCGATGGGATATCCTGAATTTCATATTGAGTAGAGTTAAAACTGGTTCAGTAAAATTGGATTTAAACTGTGCACAAGCATATTTTTTTGCATTAGAGTTTAGCATGTAAATTTTAACCAAACACAAACATGGCTATGGGATTGCATGGTTTAGTTGGAAATTCAATAATCCAACTAGTATGTGGTAAATAGCAGCCATTCACAACAACAAAAATTTGTGAAAATAAAATCTGGCAAAAATGTCACACTGAAAATATACAGTACAACACACATAAACATATAAAACTGGTATCAATGAAGCCATGTTTGTCATGATTGTGCAATACACATGTACAAGTTACAACATAAACTGGTACAATGTAATACTATCAATCTTTCATCAAGCAAGCTAAGTGTATTTTGTAGTGTGAGCTTACATTAATTTGGTTGTATCATCAAAAAAAATGTTGCCATGAACCTAAAGTGTAAATATATTCTGATCTATAAAAAAAACCTGTTGTGGCCCTTGTTTAGAATATTGCCTCTGTATTACCACAGAAACCACATTTAACTAAGGAGTTGGAATCATAAATGGAATGAACTGTTTAATGACAAAATCTAGTGACTCTTAAATGTTTAATAACTTACAAGTATCATTGGTGTTAAAAATCCTATGGACAGGTTCAAATCCTGTTGTTTTTATTATATAACTGTAGCATTTAAATATCGTCAAAATATCAATAGGAAAACTGGCAATCCTAGTCAATTAAGATCAGAGTCAAACACACCTTGCCATTAGCAGGGTTCAAACTCACAACCTCAGTGTTTACAGGCAAGTGATCACTGGAGATGATCTATTAGACCACTCTGCCACCGAGGTCCCTAATTAGCAATGAGATTGGGTCTGTATTTACAATGAGATTGTGAAGCAAATTATGACAGTTTTTGTCTATTATAGGCTCTAATGTGTTGATATTACCCCCAATGTAAGTTAGATGCACAAAATATTATAAAGATTTGGCAAAGAATTTTGGTGCAGACAACTGCTAGGGCCATCTTGAACTTACAGTGAGGTGTAAACTTTTGATCTTTATTTCATGGCCTTCCTTCTTTTCTGTTGCATAAATATAAAAAGTTAATAAGTTATATTTTGAAAGTAAACTTTACTGTGTAGTTTTAATTCACACTAAAATGCACAAAGTTGATTTCTGTAATAACAGGATTTGAACATGTCTGCAAGGTTTTGACTCTAATGATACAGGTCAGTTGGAAGTATTTTTTTACATTGGTCATATTCAATTAACATGCAACATTAGAATACCTCCTCTATGATCAGCTATAATTGTATTCATCCTCTGTAACTGGTTCATTCCTAAATTTGCTGGTTGAGTTCGTAACTGCATGGGTATAAATTTACTGTTCCATTCAGCCTGCGGGGTCTTGTTATCTGGCAGATCTAAACCAAAGGTAGCATTAGGTACTAATGGAATGGAAGAACTAGTTGTACTCTTCGATCCCAACCTTTCCATGGATTTCTTATTAATAGGTCTGGAAAGAAGAAGAAAACGGAGTGATATCATCTCATTCATAAAAAAAAAATTAGTTTGGTAATCATTTTATATTATGCAACATATTGTTGACTTATTTGATTTTGTTCTACTCTTGGGTTACCATTTCATTAAAATATACTACACCTCTGTTATTCCTGTTGATTTGCTTTACTTTTATTCTTTTTCAATTAAGATCATCAATAAATTAAAACATTATCATTCAACGCATCTTGGTTTTGACTGGAATATAATAAAACCTGATTCACTGACATATAAGCATTGAAGCAGCAGACGAAAACAATGGGAACAAATCAAAAACTATATAAAAACAAAAGAAACCCTTTTCAATTAAAATAATAGTGCTATAACTAAATTTTAATGAACCAATAAAATGAAATGATGCTGAAGCTATGTATTTGAATATAGTATATTAAGTATAAAAATACAGACAAGTCCAGTTGACTAGATGTTAAATTGTTAGTGGAAAAAAGCAAATCAGACCAATCAGTATTATTAAATGTAAAATCTTAGTACATGTAGTATATAAAACTTTATTTAGTCCCTTGATTTATGTTTCGTATGATTTTACTAATAACAAATGACCTATATTCTTTTCCAGAGAGTCATTTTTGAAAGATGGAATTTGACTCGAAATAACAATTTGATAATCCCTTTGTTTGCAGAACTGTCTAAACAGATTGACTGAAAAGCTATTCCTTATTATTTTACTTTTCATGTAAAATTTGACTTAAATTAAATTTTTGACTACTTTAAGAGCTAATTTCCTAATGATTGTAGAGTGAGACTTTGGTTGGCTTGCTTGCATTGTTTGTATAAATGTTTGCTCAAGCATTGTAATTAGGATTGACATCTGCAAACAATATGAATAGGCGGAGTTAAACCTGTATACATTAAATTTAGATTCCTAACCTCTAGGATAACATCCGATCAAATTTAAGTATAATGTATACAGGTTTAACTCTGCCTATTTATATTGTTTGTAGATGTCAATCTTAATTACAATGCTTGAGCTAATGTTAATACAAACAAAGCAAGCAAGCAAACTAAAGTCTACAAGCATTAGGAAATTAGCTCTAAAGGGTCTTTATACTTCATTCAATCTTGATCATGAAGCTGAACATATTTGTATATCATAATATAACATTCTGATATCATTGATCTATAACAACTTCTCACCATTGCAGCTAGCGCTATTTGTTAAGAGGGAAATTACTTATAACTGATTATAGATTAAGAGTCAAATTCAAGCTCTTGCTTTTTTATAATATAGATTTAGGTTGATCATGGGGTATTAAGTCATCACAAATTAGGAGGGCAACAGGATTGTATAAGTGGGCGATACTTACTTCAGCCAGTTGAATTGTATAAGGCACTGAATCAAATTATCTTTGAAGAGAACTTATCTTGACTGTGACTACAAATGATGTACAGGTACACATACCAATATTTAAGAAAAGGTGAAAAAATAATGCAAGACTAACATTTCTGAAAAGAACATGTTTTTTTTCTGGTTTTGAAAGGGTCTAACAATAACAATGGAACAATGTGTCAAATATTTATTTATTTTCTTTACAATTTCACATTAAAAAGTAAAATTTAATCACATTTTACTAATAATTTTTCTTTTGAAGCTTAACAAACTCCTGCAAAAGTTGACTCCATGAAGGATATCAATTTAGTAAGACTCTTGATTGACAATGACAGTGTGTTCAAGAATGCTAATTTCATAAACTTCTCAAGAATAGAATAATTTACCTTGCATATATTTTAATGTCTTCAAAAATTCAAGGGACATAAACCTCTCAACAATGAAAGAACCTTTGAGAGCATGCTCACATGCCCCAGCCCCCCCTTTTGCAAACAAAATCTCACCAGATTCCCAAGTTCAAAGACTAATAACTCCTACAAAAGTCCACTGATAAAAATTTCTTGTTATTATGCACATTTACATATTAAGTCCTAATTACCTACAAAGTTTCATGAAATTCTGTTGTGTGTTTTCAGAGGAGAATGCACTAAAAAACTGCTGCAGTAGTATATTTAGGTCAAAATTCTATGTTCCAATGAGCATAACTCCTAGAAAAAACATTGAATCATAATTTTCTGTCGATATGCACATCTACATAATATGTCCTTATTATCTGCAAAGTTAGTTGAAATTCTGTAGTGTGGTTTAAGAGGAGTTGTGATGACAAACTGTTGCAGTAGTATATCATGGCCAAAATTCTAAGTTCAAAAGGGCATAACTCCTAGAAAAAACAATGAATCATAATTTCCTGTTAATATGCACATCTATGTAATTATTATCTACAAATTTTCATGAAATTCTGTTATGTGGTTTCAGAGGAGTTGCAATGACAATCTGTTGCAGTACATTTTTGTAGTATATTTATTTAGGCCAAAATTCTAAGTTCAAAGGAGCATAACTCCTAGAAAAAATAACTTCCTGCCGATATGCACATCTATCACATCCGATATGAAAGTTTCATGAAATTCTGTTGTGTGGGTTTATTGAAGTTGCGCTGACAAACTATTTAGGCCAAAACTCTAAGTTCAAAGGGGAATAACTCCTAGAAAAAAAATTGAATCATGATTTCCTATCGATATGCACATCTACCATGTCTACATAGTATGTCCTTATTATCTACACAGTTTCATGAAATTCTGTTGTGTGGTTTCAGAGGAGTTGTGAAGACAAAAGCAGGACTAACAAACAGACAGACTGACAGTTCAAAAACATGATATGTCCAATATGATAATGACTTGTAGTATAAACAAAGTCTCACTTGTTAAATAAAACATTATTATTCTATATGTCAAAATTAGATAAAGTTATAAATGAAATCAGTACAATAATTACATGCAATTATAAAAGAACTATAAAACTCACCAAATTTAAAGTTTAAAAAATTAAATCTCCACACTAAACAAAACAGAAAGGAATCAATGTTAATTTTCTCAGAAAGTGCTAAATTCCACCAACACTGTGTCAAAGGCAGGTCAAATCAAATGTCTTTAGTTTCTCACTGGAACAGTACCTAATGTTTAACCATTTTTTATTAATATTTCCAAACCTTAGATAAAGTTAGAATTGCTAAAAAAAAAAAAAAGAGAATGAAAAATGTATGGATGGTCCAATATTTTTTTAGCTTTAAGATAGAGCTCTTGTTTTTCAAAAAAAACTAAATTGCTGAGTATCTATATATAAATTTTTGAATTATTGAGTTATGATTCTCAAGGTCAATAAAATTTCTAATTAAGTTTACATTGCCAAACCTATATAAATATTCAATTGGTCTAACCATGCATACAGTCTTTTGGTAGTACATGAATTGGACATGATAGTTTATGTGTCTCAAAAATATTGAGGTAAAAAGTACCAATTTTCAAATGTGCAAACATGTTCAAAACAGGTTGATAGAGGCGAGTACCTCAAAAAACATGGCTTTAGTTTACCACTTTTAAATGTTAAACAAAAGGGACTTAACAATTTTGAACATTAAAGAAGATGTTAGAATAATCTGAAAAAAAAGTTTAAATTGACTACTATTTCAAATTTTTTTCAAATCATACAATGAAAACAGTAAATTTTGACATTTAGTTTTAAAAAGTTCTGCAACTTTTATGTAAATCATACCCATTTTATAATGGGTGTACCAGAATAGTTGAATGTCAAGGCTACCTAATCTGACTGTAAGCTGATATGTCCTGATCTTTAGTTTTAAGATGGTATTTTCCTCGTCCAAAAGTTCTAAAAAAATTCAGGCCAAATTTACAAAATAAAAAAAAAATAAAAATAAAGATAATTGTTCACAATTTAAAGTTTCATTTATTCTTCAGACTTGTTTTCCTTGTTTATTATCAGAGAGCAAAGAAACAATATATAAAGTATATTCATTATGGATCCTTCACAATTAAGCTGAATTCCATTCTTTCTTGATATTTAAAATATAAAAATTCAGATAACAAATCCAGAGAGAAACAAAAGACTTTTAACTGGCCTTTTCAAATTGTACAATTAAACCTCTTATTTCTCTGGGTTATGCTTGGTAGTCGTGTAACCGAGGATTCTCGGGAGCCTCTGTCATAGTCACTTGACTTATTGGATTTGGCTGGGCTTAATCTGTATATATTTATAAAAATAAAATTAATGACACACTCAAACCAATTTTTCGTGTATTTTTCAGTGTATATATGTAAGAGCCAAATCTATGTTTGGCCTCAAGTACGTGTCCTTACCTCAGATCTGTGTCAAGTGTCATCATGACTCTCAAATATGTGGCTGTTTGTTTATTTAAATCCTTGTCCTTTTTATAAAGTAGACTTTAGACTTTCAGAAATGTGATGTGACTTGGGCAAGACACATATAGAATGCAGTGGGGTTAAAGCGCTCAACCCTACCCTAATCTGGGACTGTTATGTAACAACACAACACAAGAACAAACTTGAAGTATAAGTTTAAAAAAAAAAATGGTTATGGTGAGACCCAGTCAGCTCATATGAACATAGTTCAACACACATTTTAAAAGGTATACTTTTATTCTTTCAATTAGTAGGTAGCCTCATCATCAAGTTTTTTATTTTTTTATTTTTTTAAATTAAAGAAATAGAGTAATATTGAAAACAGTCAGAATATAAAACTTTTTTTTCTCAATATAGAAACATTAGTCAAAAACACTTCTTTTGGGTATGTTTAAAAAAGTAAGTAAGGAAGTCATTTAAGGACATTCAGTAAAATAGATTTGCATCTTTTGTCCTTTTGGTTTATTTTGTTATTTGATTTTGTGCTTTGAGCCAATCTGAGAAATCAAGCCCTTAATTTCCAACAACAAAAAAAATCAATGCAATGTGAAATCAACTCATTACAATATTCTTGAATTATAGTATAATTATAAAAATTAATAGAAATTTTATCATGTAGTTTAATATATTAGCAAAAATTCCTATGATCATTGTTACCAATTTTTTTTTTTAAATTGGCATATATAGCATTGTTTCCAGAGTAAATAAATTTATACTTTTTCTTGAATTACTCTAAAAAAGATTTACTTATTCTTACTGTTAATCCGTTGTAAATTACCAATCATATCCTCTTACAAGGAATAATATCTTTCATTATTTCTAATATTTGAAGAATCATGACTTTGATTGTTTCCTGTCTGCTTCAAAATAGTAAGATGTTCTAATCAACGTCAAACATTGATTTTGTTTGGTAATAAGAAATGCCAGATATTCATTGTAAATAATCATTAATTTTGTTAGAAACTGTATAAGTAAACAGAACATGTTCTAAAAAGAACTAATTGAGGTGATTGTTCCTTTTCAATTGTTTGATTGATTGATTGATTTGTGGGTGCTTTATGCTGCCTCAGTGCAAAAAGGCTATATCACGACCATCAATTGTTAAACAAAAAGCGTCTCTACCAGGAAGTTTCTATCTATAAAAAATTTTCACCTAATTTATGCATTATAATATATAGAACTGAGATTCTATTATCAATCGGTAATAGAAAGAAGGCTAAAATGTATCATCAGCTATACTTATCATGAATGAATTTATGTTGAAAGTCTGTAATATGTATTATTTCTACAAGTACCTCATAAACTCAACATTATCAATTATCCATGTAAATGAGGTCAAGGTCAAATGAACCCTACCAGACATGACATGTACACCTTACAATCATACCATTTACCAAAAATAGTTAGCCTATTGCTTATATAATCTGAGAAACAGATCTAATTACGAAAGTTGATCATTTACCAATAAACCATAAAATAAAGTCAAGGTCAGATGAATCCTGCAAGACAAATATGTACACCATACAAGCATTCCATACATCAAATATAGTTGACCTATTGCTTATGGTATCTGAGAAATAGACATAACTATAAAAACTAAACATTGACTTTCGAACTATGAAAATGAGATCAAGTTCAAATGAACTCTGCCTGACACACATGTACAACTTACTAGCATTCAATACACCAAATATAGTTGATCTATAGTTTACAGTATCCAATAAATAGACAAAACCATTTTACACCACTGCTGCCAGATAGTAATCCCTATGTCTCACATTCTGCAACTTTTTTGCAGGAGAGACAAAAAATAACAAATTGCTATACATGTATGTAAATATTAAACAAATATAAGATACACAGTGAAGGCCTTTATAAGCATCTTTTGATACCTACTACATGTAAGTGAGTGAGTACTACAATGTTTAATAACCTTGACTACCTAATTGCATTAATTTGGCTTTTTTGACTAATAAAAAGAGAGAAGGTACAATCAAGATAAATGGTGCATTATTGCAAATAGATTATATCAGGTTATTTTGATTTTATAGTTATAAAAAGTTAAGGTTGGTATAGTTACTGTAAATTCAGAAATTATTGCAAGCATTTATTATTGTGAATTTTGAGGAATGGACTACAATGGGAGATTAATTAACACGACTTCAGGAAAATCTGCATACAGTTATATGTATCAGATATCAGAATGCGAGTTTTTATTATTGCCATACTCATTCAGTCGCAATATTCGCATTAATAAAAACCTCGCAATAATTTCTGAATTTACAGTATGCAGTCAATATTTTCCTCATACAATCTTGACTTGTTACCCACTTGAAACAAGAGTGCACACGCTGAAATGTCTCGCCTTCTTTACTAATCACTGATATTATGTTGATAGTCCTTAATATAAAGCTTTATTACAACTGTCACATAAACTTAACATTAACCAAGAAAACTAAACATTGACCAATGAACCAGGAAAATGAAGTCAAGGTCAGATGAACCATGCCAGGCAGGCATGTACAGCTAACAATTCTTTCATACAACAAATATAGTTGACCTATTGCGTATAGTTTAAGAAAAACAGACCAAAACACAAAAACTTAACACTGAGCAATGAACTGTGAAAATGAGGTCAAGGTCAAATAAAACCTGCGCGACTGACATATAGATCATAAAATATTTCCATACACCAAATATAGTAGACCTATTGCATATAGTATTAGAAAAAAAGACCAAAACTCAAAAACTTAACTTTGACCACTGAACCATGAAAATGAGGTCAAGGTCAGATGACACCTGCCAGCTAGACATGTACACCTTACAATCATTCCATACACCAAATATAGTAGACCTATTGCATACAGTATTAGAAAAAAAGACCAAAACTCAAAAACTTAACTTTGACCACTGAACCATGAAAATGAGGTCAAGGTCAGATGACACCTGCCAGCTAGACATGTACACCTTACAATCATTCCATACACCAAATATAGTAGACCTATTGCATACAGTATAAGAAAAACAGACCAAAACACAAAAACTTAACTATAACCACTGAACCATGAAAATGAGGTCAAGGTCAGATGACACCTGCCAGCTAGACATGTACACCTTACAATCATTCCATACACCAAATATAGTAGACCTATTGCATACAGTATAAGAAAAACAGACCAAAACACAAAAACTTAACTTTGACCACTGAACCATGAAAATGAGGTCAAGGTCAGATGACACCTGCCAGCTAGACATGTACACCTTACAATCATTCCATACACCAAATATAGTAGACCTATTGCATACAGTATAAGAAAAACAGACCAAAACACAAAAACTTAACTTTGACCACTGAACCATGAAAATGAGGTCAAGGTCAGATGACACCTGCCAGCTAGACATGTACACCTTACAATCATTCTATACACCAAATATAGTAGACCTATTGCATACAGTATGAGAAAAACAGACCAAAACACAAAAACTTAACTATAACCACTGAACCATGAAAATGAGGTCAAGGTCAGATGACACCTGCCAGCTAGACATGTACATCTTACAATCATTCCATGCACCAAATATAGTAGACCTATTGCATACAGTATAAGAAAAACAGACCAAAACACAAAACTTAACTATAACCACTGAACCATGAAATGAGGTCAAGGTCAGATGACACCTGCCAGTTGGACATGTACACCTTACAGTCCTTCCATACACCGAATATACTAGACCTATTGCTAATTATAGTATCTGAGATATGGACTTGACCACGAAAACTTAACCTTGTTCACTGATCCATGAAATGAGGTCGAGGTCAAGTGAAAACTGTCTGATGGGCATGAGGACCTTGCAAGGTACGCACATACCAAATATAGTTATCCTATTACTTATAATAAGAGAGAATTTAACATTACAAAAAATGTTAACTTTTTTTTCAAGTAGTCACTGAACCATGAAAATGAGGTCAAGGACATTGGACATGTGACTGACGGAAACTTCGTAACATGAGGCATCCATATACAAAGTATGAAGCATCCAGATCTTCCACCCTCTAAAATATAAAGCTTTTAAGAAGTTAGCTAACGCCGCCGCCGCCGCCGGATCACTATCCCTATGTCGAGCTTTCTGCGACAAAAGTCGCAGGCTCGACAAAAACCATTATTACAGATGAAATTAATTAGTTGATATTGAATAAATAAAACATAACATACAAGGTGTCATTATTTTATATTGGTATATTTAATTTCATCACTCGGAGTTTATTCAAAACAAAATTGTCTTCAGCTTCTTCTCATAATTTTTGGCAAGTTTTATTCGTCTGTACTGTGTCGCATAAAATAAAATTTTGTTCTTCAGTAGTAGTCTATTTTTGACATAATTTTATCTCTTGCTCTGACTATATGTGTCATTATTCAGTATTGGTACATGTATTTTCATCACTATAGGCGTTTATTTTTGGTACAGCCAAAAAAATCAATGAATGATTGGTTTTCAAGGAGAATTTAAAGTTACCATTGAATGAACTCCACAGAGAACAATAGCTATTGTATTTATTCAATGAGATACTATACTTTGCCAAAATTTAAATGGACAGGTAAACTCCAACTGATTCTGGGGAAAGGTTTCATTTCCTTCATAGTAAAGGAATTGTGCAGCTGAATGTTTTGGTTTGTTAAAAAATATTGAAAAGAATGACCTATGGAACATTAAAATAAAAATTCAAAAAGAATGCTCGTGATTCATTGTAATTGATAATGGAAAATCTCTCGTAAAAACGTATTTCTGATTTCATAGGTAATATGTAACAAGCTAATATAACTGTCAGAGTATTTTTACATCCAATCACCAGCAATTACCCCACTTTATAGTGAATCTTTCGGCACCATTGCTGAATCAACTTGTGTGTGACTGAATGTATTGTAAATCAAAAAGTCATATATTTAACCACTACAAACAACAGTAGTGCACTGTATGGACACATGAAATCACACAATTCTAGGTTACAAATTAAAGTACAAACTTGAAATACAATAACACACTGAGATAAATATTTAGATATTGTAGAGTAGAAAAAGAACACCCAACAGCTAACACACAACCCAAGCTATCTATAATATGCTACAATATTTTTATTAAAACTGGAGACATAAAAAACCTAAGTGCATAATCATTTGTGTTGTACAGGGATCAACAGTTTTTTTATTATTTTAAAAAGTTCACTGAGAAAAAGTGCTCATGATTTTATGTTGCTACAATCATTAAACAAGTTAAAGTATATCAGCTATTATCATGATTATTAAAAACTAACATATGGTGGCCTATTATTATCCCCTATAGGCATTTACATTCTAGCCCTATGGTATCGGTGGGTTATAATTGTCCATTAGAAATCATACCACATCTTATTTCTAGAATTCAATAAAAAAAAAAATTCTGATCTGGGATAATTGGTAGGTTGGCTTTGGGATGCTTTCCTTTCAGGAATGTAACATGGTTTTTGTTTAGGACCATCAGGAACTTGCTAGTTTGCAGTTGACTCTAAAGGTGCCTAGTATTTTTTTGTACTTTTTGTTATACTAGTAGTTAATAGATTTTCTTCATTAGTATTGTAATTGATGTTGACTACTGTAATTAATTATCTTTACCACATTAAGAGTATGTGTCACAGAAAATTAGTTTTATATGATACACACTATGGTACCCGTAACATATAAAATAGTATGGGGATTTCAGGGGTTGTGGTGTTGATGGTAGATATTTGACAGCCATTTCAGACTTTTATCAACTAAATCTGTTGAATATAAATCATATCAAAGTACACCAATAATATTATTTATAAACATTTGGACAAGTTAAATTTAAGCTTTGTAAATTGGACCTACGGCTATTTTCATTTTTTTTTTATTAAAAGCAGGACAGAAAAGTAGAAAGCTACCAAAAGCCTATGATGAAAATGAAGTGGTCCAAAGAAAAGTAGATGACTTGATAAAAAAAGAAATAAAGGATAAAAATCATCAGGAAAATCCCTTAAATTGGCTTAATTCAGAATTTATGGGTAAATTCAAATGCAAAAAATGCCTGCTTCTATGATTATTTTCTGGATTAATATGAATATTTAATACATGGGATGAAAAAGAATTAATAAGTTATATTGATTACAATTTTTGGGAATTCTTTTGTTAATAAAAGTTAAAACAATTTTTCTCTACACTACAAGAGTCCTATGTCTCCAATATATACATGATATATATGATATATACTATTCTACTGAAGCTAGCAAAAAACGTGTTGCACTTTTACCTGTGGGAATTTACATAAGTATTTTGTCGCTGGATAAATGCTTCCTGCATATCCAGGAAGTATGAACTGTCACTGGGGTGTCCCGATGGGGACAAAAAATTCTTTGGGATCCGAGTAGGTAAATCTAAGAAGCTGAAAACCCAAAAGTAATAAAATAATACACAAACTAACCACATACATTTAGCTCTTGGTTAAATGCTAATGAAAGCAAATTGGAAGACTATAATTTCCAAATATAAATAATTAAAAAGGGTTAACAGAAAGTGTATTATTGCATTGATGATGTTAAATTGTCCTGTCACAACCAAAACCATTCAAGTGTAAACTAATTTTCTTACAAGAAACCCATTCTTATTTTTTACTTCATCTAGAGCTGATTTAAAAAATATCATGTGTTTAATCAAAAATAGCTAAAATGGAACTCATGAAATCTAAGGTGGTTCCAATATCTAAAAATTGTTTAAATAGGTCTTCTAGAAAAAAAATTCAAATTAGACTGATCAGTTGCATGAAAATTAGTTAACATGGCTATGGTTTTGGCTTTGGTAAACAAATAAATGAAAACAATTCAAGGAATGATTTGAAAAAATAACTGGTAGACACAATTTTTCAGGATAAATATGTAGGCTTTAAAACATGTTTAAGGTATGAAAAGTGAATGTGTGAACAAAAAACATTGAAATAAACAGCTTTTATATTTCAAAATAATATAATCAAGTCAAGGGTCTACAACAATGTTTTTCACTGGATAAGAACTGTAATTTTTAACTGGCTTTCATTTGTCTAGCAAGTTATAGAAGGGCACTGATCTATAAAATAGAAGGGTGAGAACTGGGAAAATCTTTCATTTTTCCACTTTTGTACACTTACTGCATTTATTTTATATTTAATTAGTGATTATACTAAAGTAAGTGTAAAATTTATAACCATATAAAAGATGTTACCCATTTTGGATTGAAACATTTCCATGGATTTCTTAAAAACATTTTTACCTTTTTAAGTTTTCACTCAGTGTTTTCAAAGGAAACTATAAATTTTGAGGATATCTTTTAAAATTACTGCTAAATTTTGCAAAATGATTTACTGAAATGATATCAACCAATTGATACATTTTATAACCTAGAATTGTAGGTTGAACAACATAAGAAAATTAACTGCAATTATAAAATTCCAACAAAATTAGGGAACGCAACAAATATATTACCATATACAGGTAACTAACTTTGTAAGAAGCCATTAAATTCCCATAGTACCATCACACCAAGATACATGCCAGCATGTCATTGAATTTCTATTACTTATACAATATTTCACCCACCTACATTTATTCTGACCATATCACAATTCAAAACAATAGCAAATAAAATAACATGAGGATGTTTGTTATGATATATTTAGGTTGAGCCTCTAGCAAAAAGATTGGCATCACAAATGCACAACACAAACATAAAAAACATGGAAGCTTGAATGCAATGCCTGCGCGATGTTAAGATATCTTTAATATATTATAGCTGTAGATTATGAGATTTATTTCTCTAAATCTTATTATATAAAAACCATTCTAATATTTACCGTCTTGTCAGCCATTCTGGATCATGGTGATCAAATTCTCTAGCAAATTCTTTTGAGGTTCTAGGACTAGGAAGAGATCGTGAACCAAGGGGAGTGTTTGAAACTGATTCTTTTAAATATTGTTGACTAGGAGGTTTAGGTTTAGGTAAAGGTTTCATTTCCTGTGAGTTTCTCATTTTATCTTGGTGCCTAGTAGACGAACTATGCACTCTGTCTGTTGAGGTCCTTATAGTATCTAAAGTACTATGATGTCTTTCCATTGAATTTCGTGATCTTTCAATTGAACTTTGGACTTTTTCTGGATGTTTTTCACATGTTCTTATATCACTGTTGTTGTGGTGTTTATGCTTTGTAGGAGGCAGATCATTAAGAATTGGTTTATAAGAATCTTTTGTAGTTCCTGCACTAGCATTAGGTTGAATTTGATGAACACTAAATTTTTCAACAGATACTGCAGTGGGTATCAAATCTGGGTTAATTTTTGTACTATTACCTAGCATAGCTTCAATTTTCTGCCCTCTAGTTCTATATCTACCACTATTTACAAACGTCCTTGACCTTTCTACTTTCATTGAATTACTATTACTTTGTTCGACAAATGATAAACCACGTTTGATACTTTCATGAACAACTTCTGAATTTTTATCTGGGTCATCTTGCATTGAGACACGACTCATACTTAATGGTACTGTAAATTTCATCACTGAATTCTTGTCTGTTTTTTGACCATTTTGTTTTTGTTGATAATGCTTTTGCTCCCGAAATGCTGGTGAATACATTCCATTAAGCTTTCGAGAACTTGGTCGTGAGTCACTCTTCTTAGGAGTAATAACTCTTATTTGGTCTCTTAGTGGCTGTAATTTAAAAGAAAAACGTTGAAATAACAAACAAACATTTGGCTAACTAATACAGTAGTAACTGCATCAATTATGGGTATATCAATTATGTAAATACACCTAGAATATAACGTTCTAATAGGTAAAATGTTTTGCCTTTCCACCCCAAGAATAATCAGTCTATTGATCTAGCTAGTACAAAGCAAGATTCATATCAACTTTGCACGCATTTATAAAGATGATCATCCTGAAAATGGTGGGAAATATATAACTGTTATGTAGAATTAAACTTATATTGTTTACAGACAGGGTGACACATGACAAATCCATTGTTCATTTCAAACATTTAAATTCTAAGATTCTATCACAATATTTGGTCAGTAACAATATTTATCATCACAGAATAGTCATTTTTGATTAAGAAATGTTTTAATTCAAATTTTTAGACAGATGAATGTCATAAAGTAAATCCTCAAATGAATGATTATAAAAGGCATTTTCTGTCAGGACTCAGGTACCTGAATAAACAAAAATGACGATACACACATGGGTATATGAGAAATTAACAATACATTTGTATATCAAAGCTGCTAAGTTGATGAACCTAATCTTGAAGATCCATGGAAGGTTTATAGTGATCTGAGTGCATATATCTGATGAATTTCAAGAGAAATTAAGAACAAGAGTGCACACGCTGAAATGTCTCGCCTTCTTTACTAATCATTGATATTATGTTGATAGTCCTAAATATAAAGCTTTATTACAACTGTCACATAAACTTAACATTAACCAAGTAAACTAAACACTGACCAATGAACCATGAAAATGAGGTCAAGGTCAGATGAACCATGCTAGGCAGGCATGTACAGCTAACAATTCTTCCATACAACAAATATAGTTGACCTATTGCTTATAGTTTAAGAAAAACAGACCAAAACACAAAAACTTAACACTGAGCAATGAACCTTGAAAATGAGGTCAAGGACAAATAAAACCTGCGTGAATGACATATAGATCATAAAATATTTCCATACACCAAATATAGTTGAACTATTGCATATAGTATTAGAAAAAAAGACCAAAACTCAAAAACTTAACTTTGACCAATGAACCATGAAAATGAGGTCAAGGCCAGATGACACCTGCCAGGTAGACATGTACACCTTACAATCATTCCATACACCAAATATAGTAGACCTATTGCATACAGTATAAGAAAAACAGACCAACACACAAAAACTTAACTATAACCACTGAACCATGAAAATGAGGTCAAGGTCAGATGACACCTGCCAGTTGGACATGTACACCTTACTGTCCTTCCATACACCGAATATACTAGACCTATTGCTTATAGTATCTGAGATATGGACTTGACCACCAAAACTTAACCTTGTTCACTGATCCAAGAAATGAGGTCGAGGTCAAGTGAAAACTGTCTGACGGGCATGAGGACCTTGCAAGGTACGCACATACCAAATATAGTTATCCTATTACTTATAATAAGAGAGAATTTAACATTACAAAAAATCTTAACTTTTTTTTCAAGTAGTCACTGAACCATGAAAATGAGGTCAAGGACATTGGACATGTGACTGACGGAAACTTCGTAACATGAGGCATCCATATACAAAGTATGAAGCATCCAGATCTTCTACCTTCTAAAATATAAAGCTTTTAAGAAGTTAGCTAAGGCCGCCGCCGCCGGATCACTATCCCTATGTCAAGCTTTCTGTGACAAAAGTCGCAGGCTCGACAAAAACCAAGAAAAAATACTAATTCAATTTTTTTTTCTAAATGTGCAATTCTGTTTGAAAATGAAACATATTGTTACTTTTCAATAGTTAATCGCTAAGTTAAAAACTATGATCATATGCTATTAATGATTAAATTTAATAATAATGGATTGACAAATTGCTTAACTGCATAAATTTGAGAAAATGTATTGCTAAACACAATCATAATCTATCTGTAAGAAAGAGAATTATCTGCATATAAATAGAGGAAAATATCTTATTACACACAATAATAATCCATTTATAAAAAGAGAATAGACCACTTTGGAGTTTTTTGCATTTCCGTGGAAAAGTTTTGTGTTAGTGAACATCATTCATGCTTTTAGTGGTGTCGTCACTTACTTCCCATGATGAGCGAGCAGTTGAAAAAATATGATGCTATATTGCACAAATTATTCGGCAAATCAAACTCTTATGATTGATAATCAGCACTGCTGTTATTAGGGAATTGTGATTAAGTACCTACAAAACAAACTTTATTTCTAGTTTATCCTGCATAATGACGATCACAAGGACGCTTGATGAACTTTAATAGTGCAGCGATACAGGTGGTCCCCTCTATCTGGTAAATGACGTCATAAAGTCGCGCATAATTGACGAACTTTTCTGGTGAAGGACATAACTCGAAAGTGGTCTATTATCTATAGACTTTACACCTTTTATACTACAAAAATCTTTGAGAGTCAAAGTCTATAGACAAAATACATTTGGTAGAACTTTGATTTTCTTAGATATCCAGGGAACCACTAAAATCTTTTTTAGTTATAGGGCTATTTTGACAGTTGAAGATTCTAGAGTAAAGAATTTACATCGAAACAGAAAATGTCTTCCTTTCATCCATAATGTGACTGCCAGTCCAGAATTCAAAGTTCTACTACATTTTCATTTTTTTTAAAAGCATTTAAGATTAGAAATATGAATTAGAAGTAGACCTGAAACTGCAATCTTTTCTATAACCAATTAAAACTTTAATTAGGTCACACTAATAGCATAAATTATCCATTTATTTTCTTATGGATTTTGCTGTTATTCTTATAACATGGTATTCAAAAGTACTGCCTGTTACATAAGAGATGCATGTTTAATTGATGCTGATTTTTTCCCCCAGGAATAGTTATCGAAAAAAGAGACTCAAAGCTAAAGCTATTGGTATTGAGGGTTCTTCAAATGTTAAAAAGCGTTTTACTATCTTGCTAGGGCTGATTCTTATAATAGTTATTTTGTAAAAGCTTTAGTCTTCAAAAGCCTGCATTAATTATTTGCCAGCCATATATTTTTCTTCATTTCTTTTACCATTTTTGAATTCTTACATTGATCATAAATTGAATGATATACTAATGACCTATATTTGCTTTCAGATGTTAAAATTGAAAATCAGCCATTTTTTTCAGACTCACAATAATGTAAATGCAATTAACAAAATGAAAGAATTTTTAAGATTTTTTCCTTCTAATTTAATGACTGTTCCAGAAAAAAAATATCTGGTGCATTTGAAGGTACTTTTATATAAATTTTTATTGATTGTTGGATCGTAGACATATTTTTGCACAAAATATATGGTAAAAAATCTATGGGTGATGGGGTTACTGAAAAATCACTTAAAAAAACACCAAAAAGTTTTTTCCAGAACATCCCTTACAGTCTTAATTATGTCTGTTGGCAAACTACATATAGATTACATTTACACCCTGAGTGAAATTATCTTTAGGCAGCATACAAAATATTGTTTTTCCTTCAATTGTTTTCTAATGGTAATGGTTTGAATTGATACAAACAACAGTTGTTAATTGATGACCTTAGGTTTCCTTGTTGAAAGAGTCAGATAAGCTAGAGACATATATTTTCCAGGCAGAATTGCAATAAGCTCTGATTAATGACCAGACCCTCTAAATATAAAACATGTAATTAGTTTCATAGCAACAGGAAGCCATCATCACAAATGTAAGAACTTTAATAAAAATAATCTTCTCCTTTACATAATAAAAGAAAGCACCAGCATCTTATATAATGAACAACAGGTCAAATTTGTGAACACTTAATTTTTAAATCACTGTAAATTATAAGTAATGTCATTGAAAAGGCAGAACTTGCTTTGAGAGATCATCCAGGCTTATTCAGGAATACCAGAAGTCATCAAAAAGTAACCCACTTTGGTTACAATAAATACTGTAAACCAACTTATTATCTTACGGAAGGACTTTTGACAAGGTTCAGAATTAAAATGTTTCCCCTTTAAGTGAAGGCATTGATGCAAAGTGAGACGAAGTGCAGGGAATTTTGTCAGGAAATGATTAAGTCATGCTTAAATAGTATCTGTTCACTGACAAGCTGAAAGAATCATCCTAACAGGAGTACATCATTAGCAGACACAAGTTGATATTTTCATCACCACTCACATATACCTCTGGTTATTGACTTCAGGCCAAAAAAAAAACAACTCCCTAAAACACTCCTTAATTGCAATAGATAAGGAACACCCAAAAGTCTGTAAATAAATTTACACAAAATTTTCTTAAAAGTTTTAACATTTTATTGTCACAATTTTTCATCAATGACACATTTGACTGCTTGAAGGGAACAGGTACATAAATGATGTGTGATCTCACCTGTTACCTTAAGATAACATGGATAATTTATTTGTTCCTTTTGAAAAGTATTGAATTCATCACTCAATACTTCTTTTACTTGGTACATGCTTTAAGGTGGGAAAGAGTGTAAAACTCAGGCACTGTGGAAGGTAAAGAATTCATTTCCACAAACAGAAACTGTCAAATTTCTCATGGTAAGAATTTGAAGTAAAACTGTCAAAGGAGTTTGACCTGTTGTCCATTGCATGTGATACTACCATGCATATTATTGATATAACCTACCAATACTTCATGATCATCTGCAAATGTTACCCTAAGAGGTCGCTGGTACTAAATATATAATAATTAGCAGATTATCACTGATTAGAATTTATATTCTTAATCAACATAATGTTATTACCTTCATGGAATCAAATACAACCCTATAAACAGTTTTGAGAGGATTTGCGTTATACTTCTAATGTAAAATATTAAAATATTACAATGACCATTAATCTTATGTATATTGATAAAATCCAGGAAACTATGTTTACTTATATGTACCACATAAATGCAAGACTGTAGATATTATGTTCATTGTTTAATTCTTGAAATTATGCTAAATTGCTTAAGACACAAACCCATAGCCAGGATGAAAAAAAATGTATTTATATTGGAATTTTATAGACAAATGTATCTTGTTCCAAACTGACGCATGTTTAAAGATTGTAATTGATCTTACGTTTTCGTGCTGTTCACTTGACTGTTTATCTTGCAATGCTGAAGATGTTTCACTTTTTGCTGAAAATAAATAAATAACGTGTAAAGAAAGGAAGAAAGATGGAAATTTACCAATTGAATCATAATCATGAAAGGGGTCTAATACTACCATTTAGTGCAATGGCATTACCAATCCTATATTTACCACATTTTTCAGGTAATCATATCGATAATTATGTTTTCAGATGTAAATATAACCATTCATAGACTTCAAGGTAAAACAAATATTTAACAGTGCTATTGTACACAGCTTTGACAGAAACTATTTAGTTATGAACTACAAAGTAGCCTTACAAAAAGCTACAATATTTTCCCTGATTGACTGTCATAACAATAACTTAAAGCAACTTAAAAAAAAAAAACACAAAATTTAAGGTGTAATTTTTATTTTTCATTTCAAGGGTAAAAATAGTTAATGACATTCAGAAATGAATGAATACAAAGTTTGTAAGTTTTGAGCAATACGAATACATGCATTCATTGCGCAGCAGCACTTTCGTACTCATGTAAAATGTGCCACATCACAAAGCAAATTTTGCACAATGTATGAAAGTGCTTCTTGCCCAATACTGTGCTTCTTCACTTGCTTTCAAGTTTTAACTTAAAAAATTTGCACTCCATTCTTACATTTACTGTAAAATTAAAATCAGTTCAAGAATATTGTGAAGAAAATAAAAACTTTCCCTAGAATCAGTTGGTGTTTAACTGGATGTTTAAATTTTTGCAAAGGGAACTTGTCCACTAATTACAGAGATCTTGGAAGAAGCAAGACACTTACCGAGTGAAAAGCTGAATTGATCATTACAGGTAGATGTTAACGAACTACCTAGATCACCCAATACTTACACTACTTGCTAATGACTTTTTTTGTGCTGATGCGGCATAAAGCAACCACCTATCAATCAATGCTAATGACTTCTTCCACGTTTTTAAAGTGAAGACTTGACTAAGTATTGTAGCTTTGAAGTCAGATATTTCTTCATATCTAGTTGTAATTGATATCTTCTAACTCAACATTTTTAACAAACATTTATAATTCAATTGATATAGGAACAGTTTAACATATTGGTAATTTAAGACATGCAAGTACAAAAAAGAAACTTGCATCAATGCTGCCAGTGTGACTTAAGTGTATTAGCAGTTAACTAGTAAACTAATGTGGTACTAATTTTTGCTATTATAACAGTACCTACAGAAACAGTAAAATAATACCCCTGCAAAGCTGTTTTAATTAAAAGAGTATTTAATTTGAAATACACTGAATTGAATATTGAAAAACATGATCTAAAAAATTAAACTAAGAAAATTGGATGCAGTGTAAATTACCTGTACCTGGTACTATGTTTACAGAAGTACAGATAGTTATAGAGCCCTAAGTAAATATAAAAATCATGGTTTTGAAATCAAAATAAATATTACCACTCACAAAATCACTAACCCCATGTTTCCACTGCAATGATTTTATTTTACTAGTAAAAACAGATGTAACTGTCTAGAAGCTTAATACAATCTGTTCAGATTTTATTGTTTGTTCTTCAAAGTTATTGCTGTAGAAATTTTACTAGTCATGAATAACTATGAATAATTTGATAATATGATGGAAATTATATCTATAATATGACATTACCCATAGATATTTCCAATTGTATAACAAATTTTCTCTATTTTATTTGACTTGATCATGAAGCAACATGTCAGCTACCCAAATGCAGGAAAGTATATACTTACTACATCACTGAGGGCTATTATTGGAGTTTTTATCATCCCAGTGTAATTTTACATTTTAATACACTTTTTTGTCTTTTTGGTCTTATACTATTCTCAGAATTATTGAATTCTTGTGTTTCTGCTATCACAATTACTTTTTCTAGTCATTAAGGGGGAGTTTGTTTGATCTTCAAAAACATCATTATTTATATATCAAGGTATTTATTTTATTCATACTTGGAGCAAAATAGATGTATGTTCTTCTCTATATATGTTTTGTTATTTTTATGGTTGGGCTGCTGTCTCAATGACATAAACCCCACATCTTCTTTCTTCATTCATACAGTAAAACACATTTGAAATACATTTATTCACAACTAAACTGTGTTTATAACACAGCCATAATATGCAATGAATGAGAAAAAACAATGCAAACTTTCAAAAAAGTCAAGCTTATATCAAAATCAAACTGTTAAACAAAACAGTGATGTTCTTCTAAATAGACAAAATATATATTTTCTCTGGTGATATTGTACATTATCTATAAACTAAAGGACAGTTAATGTACAGATACTGGTCCACTACAATAGAAAATGTCACTATTCTGTGCCATGGTTCACTCCAAATACTTAGCTGATATTTTTATTTTCTATACACCAATGTTGGTAACACTGATCGCTCTAAAATGCAAATTAGCAAAAGAAAGTAATTACTTTTACTGAAATTTTCCAATTTTCCATGTATTTGTTCAATGGTAGTTGGAAAATGAAAGGATATATAGCTTGACAATAAAAAAATATAGGTTGAAAGAATGAAAAAAATACTTTATTTGTAAAGGTGATGAAAGTATAATTGAGAAAAATGTGTGACGAAATAGTAAATAGAAAATATGATTTTGCACTAGGGTACATGTAGTACTTTCTTATAGGTGTAATACCACCATTGATTTTCCCCTATTAGTCTTTGTTAAATTTGCACTTTTCAAAAAATTGTGCAGAATTTATCTTTGTTTCAAAAAAAGAAATACTTGGCATGAGTAAAGTTTTATCCTGTCCAGTACTATAGACAAAATTTCACATAACATTTCATTGCATATAAGAAAATAACCATCACTGGAAGTTAACCAATCAAATTTTCCCCCTTTTTTAACATGTGTACAAGCTTTAGTAACCATGTAACCTCAAGTTTCCAAAATATTATATAGAAACCCCAAATAAAGAAATAATGGTGCTTTGAAATACCCAAGATATATGTTTATGACTCAGAAATGTTTTACTGCAATGAAATGTAGGATCAATTACCTACAACTGTCAAATTCAAGGGAATATTTTTTGTTGACCTATTTTCGTATGCAACCGGATGTGACGTACTATGATTTGGTGGTATTACACCTAAAATACAGATATTATAAAACACCAGTGATAACTCTCCTGTGTCTGGTACTTATTATATTGATTCAAAGTCCGAACAAAGGGTGAGTTCCTTTAGGAATGAAAAAAAACAATTGTTTATGAACCAGTCAAATGAAAGAAAGAATGAATGAATGAAACTATTCCAATCTAAAGAAGGAAAACAGCCTATAACATATTGACTGACAGATGTTGTAGCCAGTATTCTGATGAAAAGAGAAAAGAGTTTACGTCAAGAAAGATAGATGTCAAGCTTCAGTTTTAAACATCAAACTAAGTTAACAATTCTAACCTGATGTTGGACGGTTACCGATTGATGTATCGCCAGGTGTTCTACTTCTTTCTTTGTATGATGGATGCTGCAAAGTAAAAAACATCTGTTTCTATGGGATTTGAGGGTTTAATTGTAGGTGCATAATTAAGGATTTTTTGCATCTTATATACTTGTTTTTACTTAAATTATAGTATGGTACTTCGAAATATTTGTAAACTTTTAAATTAAAGACAAATTTTCACAAAACAGTCAATTGTGGTAGGTAAAAATACATGTGGATCTTTATTGTGCATAAGCATAAATTCCATAAAAAAAAATTCCACAGGAAGATAAAAGAATGATCTTTTTAAAGCATTAATTTGCATCTCTGCCCCCGGTGCGAGTTTTTTTGTGAAAAAATCCTAAAAATGTGCAATAATCATATCCAAAAGAGAAAGTCTAGTACAACTTTTTGCGTTCAGGCATATTTGAGTCCACTGATTTGTCTTGAAAACATATAAAGTAAACATATTTGATACATCATCTCACTTCAGTTTCTATTACTTATATATATTTAGGCTACAGGTTGATATAATAACATTGAAAATCCACAGTACTAAAAAAATAATATATATGGGTCAAGTGAATACCTTTCTAATGAGTCATTATAACAGAGTAGGTGTGTTTGAATAACATTTTTTTTACTAAAAGTACTTGACGACAGACGACATTTAGTGGATCTTAAAAATGCATAACTTCAAAAAAAAATTTTGTGGGTGGCCTCTAGGGTAATAAGTCTTTAACCCAAGGCTTCCAAAAGGTCACATTTGCCGAACAAATATAAATTTATCAGACTGGGCAAAACACGGACATCTTACGTGGGTTTGCCATTTCAACATTCATGTAATTCAGAAAAATCAACCATTTTGACTTGACCTTGTGCCTTGAACAACCAAACTTTTCCGGTCATAAAAGTGACAGTACTCTATAAACAAGCCCTACTATAATCCCCTCTCATTACAATCAAGGTTAATTAAGTGTCTGACAGGTGAGATTTACCTGTAATCACCTGTGTCAGGTAAACTATTTGTACTGGACATCAATCGATTTTTTTGGAAGTTATTTTATAAAACGATAAGATCATAAATTACAAAGATGGTAAAAAAGTTTAACAACTAAGCTGGTCCTCGACTGACTAATACACTTTGTTAAGTCTTCGGATACATGCCAATTCGAACCATGCCATCTTTTGTTATGGGGTAACCTGTCTAAAGGGATAAAAAACAGGATTGAAAAAAATGTCCGGCTGGCTCAAATATTTTTTGGAAGCCCTGCTTTAACCTCTCAAAATATTTAGTCTGCCCTTCCACGAATTATTTAATTTGAATTTTTTTAGTATTTTTTTAAATTTTGAAAATTCCCCCTGACAACTGACAGAAAATGGTTTTCAGTTGACAAAAGGCCTAAAAGTACATTAAATGATGCTTAATAGCTAGTAGATACATTTGTATTTTAAAACGCAACTGTCGTGTAAGAATCGTAATGAAGCGATGTGGATAAATTTATCAGTGTTCAAGAGCTAAGTTGACCACTCATCATCCTACAATGGCTTCCATTTTTATGATTAAAAAAAAGAGATTGGCATAATGGGGAGATAATTCTAACAAAGTAGATTCCTGACTTTAAAAAGTGCTATAGAGCTAACATTTAAATTGCTCAGGTGAAAAAGCTTGGTTCAGATTTTGAGTATTGTCTGAGGAAATTTTTGTTTCAACATCTTACAATTTTTTAAAAACCTCTTATGAAATTAAAATACATATTTTATTACCGGCTAGAAAATTGTTTATTTCATGCCATTTTAATTTATGCTTAAAACAACACTAAAGGTATGACATAAAATGAATACAAACTTTAGCACTTGAAACTCTTTTCTTATCAAGAAGACTAGTCTTTTTCTTTGTCAATATTGGTTGTGGTTTGTCCGCACTAATACTATCCTTCCTTTCAGACGGAGGTTGATACAGGGGCGGTCTATCTGGATCATCTGGAAGAAAAACAATGAGCAGTTTCTGTAAAAATAATATATATAACAGGTGATACAAATTGCTAAGAATATTTGACATCATAACATATTATACTTACAATCAACAACTAACTCCTTCAGAGAAAAAACCACACAAAGAAGTTACAATCATGAATAATGTCTCTTTTTGATTTGTTACAGCGGGAAAAGACTGTTAAACCCAATATTGGACAATATCATTTACAATGCAATCATAAGAAGAAATGTCTAAATGAGTTAAGAAAATCTGTGAGCAGAAATCAGAGTTACAAAAACATCTTTCTGCCATTGAGAGTTTGGGCAAGACTTAGTTTTCACAACAGCCACCAAGGCAAGCAGAGCCTGTATTCAGATAGAAAAATGAGATCAACCAGAGAATGTCAGTCATGGCCAGATCGAGTGCTCAAAGAAATATTGAAAGTACTTACATGTGAACCTCCAGTCAGGAGATATAAATCTAAATATTTTAAGAGGCATTTCCACCTGCAAAATGTCAATCTCCACTTAGATGTTTCGGGGAAAATTAACTTTATTTCTATATATAAGTATGAAATCTCCACTTAAGAAATTACAACTGTAGCTAAGAATAACATTTATGTAGGCTCAGCCATCTGTCAGATGTATGCAAATATAATTTATCCCATGGTCCTTCATTATGAACTTTCTAATGTTTGGGAAAATATTACCATAGGTACTAGGATTCAAGATGCCTAAATATGACCTGCATCCTGGCTTCCTCATCCTTTGTCCCTCATTTTTTACATATATGTTTGGATGATAGGTTCCTATTTAGCATAAATTTACATTGACAATTTAGAGTTCTTAATTCAGATTGCCACCTATGCTGGTAATAGGATTCAAGTAAATATAGCAAAACATCGTAACTTAGAGGTAATTGACATCAAAGAAAAGCAACTCTAGAATTGATTGAGAATATACAGATTATGTTCAAAAGTGTTCTTGTTTTCATGCAAGACTTAATTAGCTGATTTACCATGTCTTGAAACAACACCTCTCATATAATTACTGCTATAGTTGGTATTTCTACTATACAGAAGTGTAAAATGTTTTTAATATTGCAATTTTATGAACAAAATTCAATTTGCCCAGTTTTCCGTCTTCACAATTCTGCAAATTTACAATTTATCATTCTGTACATATCTATTATACATTTATCACAAAACTGATACGAGTCTGTAAAACTTTAAATTTTAAGGATAAATAACACTTTTAGCTCAACTACTTTTCTGCCTTAAAAACTGGCAAAGAACTTACATTCATCCTTGGCTGTCCTTTTCTTCGTTGGTTTACTTTCAAATTTCCCTTCATTTGTCAGGCAAGTTACCTGTTTATCAAATAAAAGCATATTTTGAGCTAGACAATAACGCATATTATATACATTTTGTTTTTGTATTCCAGTTATTTTTTGTATTATAACAAACCAGTGTCATATTATGTTTGTATATATATGTATTTTAAAGGAGTGGTACTTTGGGCTCACCTGTGACACATGCTAAAGTTATGCATTCTATCCCATCATTTTGTTTATGTAAGCAGCATTCAGTTTCATACCAAAAGATAAAGAAGGTTCAAGTGGTTCAAGTTCACCCAAGGACTATTCTTATAAATATGTTAATTAGTTCTCTTACAGCTGTAGACAGAAGTTCCAGGAGGATCCCTCTAAAATGCATTTTTTATAGCATCAATAAAAAAAATTTATGAATGGTGACCAACACAGTCTTATTATTATGTTTCATTATAGCAGCCATCTTTAACTTTAGATTAGTTTCTAAATTACAAGCACTGGAAAGGTCATCAAAGAACTACTACTGCAACTTAATGTAAACAATAAGCGTTTTCCATAAAGATGTTGTTTACAAGGATTTTATTATGTTCCTTGTTAAACAATGGCACTGCATGTAGGCAGCACCCATTGGTTTTTTTTTTATTAACATCAAAATATGCACAGTGTCATTAAAAGTTAATTTAAGATCAAAACAAGAATGTGTCCATGTACACGGATGCCCCACTCGCACTATCATTTTCTATGTTCAGTGGACCGTGAAATTGGGGTCAAAACTCTAATTTGGCATTAAAATTAGAAAGATCATATCATAGGGAACATGTGTACTAAGTTTCAAGTTGATTGGACTTCAACTTCATCAAAAACTAACTTGACTAAAAACTTTAACTTGAAGCAGGACAGACGGACGGACGGATGAACGAAACAAACAGACGCACAGACCGAAAAACATGATGCCCATAAATGGGGCATAACAATTATCCAAACAGACAGTATATTTTCATATTTACCACAACATTATATTCTGTATCAGGTGTAAGTCTTCTGGCAGTGAAGGCATGATCCGTCCCAGAGTATACCACTTTATTATTCATGGATAAGTCGTACCGATTAATTTTCCCCAGTGGTTGTTCAGGTGGTTCCCAGGATATATGGAGTTCATTTCTTCCTATCACCTGAACATGAGGTTTTGATGGGGCATGAGCACCTGTAATTAAATCAAAGAAAATCAGTCATTCTTCATATAGCCCTTCTATCAAATCTTTTTTTATCTTTCATTCTATATTCATTCTTTGCAAAGAACTCCTATATATCAATTTGCAAGTCAATGTTAAGCTAACAACATTGAATCATTCAATCTGATTATCATGTTTCACACCGTAGGAACCTCATTTGACAGTGGTTGTTGTTTCTATTTCAGTGCTTCATTTTGTCAAGAAATTCAATGGTTGTGGCAGATCTCATATATATTCTGTTAAATTCATTTTGTAAGATATCTTGATTTTGAGCAATTTTGAGTTTGACATTAGTTATGAACACTTGCCTGTCATTATCAAACTTCTGTATCTTTTTGTATGGTTCATTGTGTTATTAGGTAGTTGTATCATTTGAAATATACATAACTTCGCCTTTATTCATATATGTGAAAGGATATGTGGGGAATATGTCAACAGCAACCAAACAACAAAAGACATCAAGAGGTCAACACAAAGTCTTCTTGTTTTCATAGGTTGTTACAGTCTGTAAGGGGAGTTTTTGCTCCATTTTGAAGGTCTCACTTTGACTTTGTGATAAAGAACAGCAATAAAAGCACTGTTCATTTTCTTTTGCTTTCTTCATGTGTTCATAGTAATTTTGTGTCATGAATTGATTCACAATATCCTTTCTTTTCCTTTTGATTACTTAAAAACTGATGATTTTAATAGAATCATTATTAAAAAATAGTCTAAACTAACATTACAATGGTTTTAAAACTGAAGTGATAATCATGACATCATTCATACATATTATAAGGTCTTGAACTATATCAAGATGGTTTCAAAAAACAAATTTACTTTTGTGACTTTTCACAGGACATTTCGTGGAATACTCCAATGCTAAGGAAGTTATCACATGACTGATTGCTATAGATAAATAAAGATGAACCTAATTATGATGTTGTCAAACATATATCCAACTAGACTTACCTAAATCTGATGTAGTCCCAGTAATGTGGGCCTTCTCTCCCTTACCCTTGGAAGTTGAAGCACTTATCTAAAACAGAATATATATAGTGTTTTTTTACAAGTAACAATGTTAATAAGTTAAGGATATCTTCTTTGATGCAATCTCCAATCTATTCTGACTCGAAAGAACACATTTAACAGTATATTAAATATAGTAAGAAGTAAACATTAGACAATTTTTAACCTGGGGAAGGAAGTTAATGTCTGATCCATTTTAATTTTGCAGGCCAATTCTTCAAAGCAGAAAAAAAAAAAAAAAAACATTTATTTTTCTGGCCAATTTATTGTTTTTCAGAATATTATTATAAATTTGAATTAATCATATATCAATTTTCAGGTATAACTTTAGCTTGAGATATATTTGTTTAACTTTCTATTTGCTTCTACTTTATTTGTTAATTTCCATATTTGTTCTTGTTTTTTATAAGCTTACCGATATTTCATATGATGTACTGGGTTGTAAACCAGAAATGATACATTGCAGTTCTGTTGTATGTTCATGCACCTTTTCTCCTGAGATAAACATTATATTTTACGTTATTGTCATATATTTAACTTTAACAGAGCATTTTCTAAACAAATAAATAATTAAAGGCAATTTTTTTATATAATTTTTCAAAAATTAAACTCTGGGTAGAACATTTTTTTTTAAAATTCATATTAATATCAATCCATTCTTACATTCAGACCTAATTTTCTTGCAACTAGTCAGTTCCATATGGAATTACCTAGAGCTAATCAAATCTTTGATATATATTAAAATTAATATCTTCAAATGAAGTAGTTTGCTTTAGGTAACTTCACCTTAGTCATACTGGAACTCCATCTGAGCAATTTTGGTTTTGAAGACCTGATGTTTCCTAAAATAATCGTAAAATTCCAAAAGAACTGACCAATTGCAAGAAAATTTAAGATAACCATGTTGACTAAGGTATAATTAATTTTTTAAATCTGAATTATCTATTAATATTTGAAAAAAATTTAACTTAAAATAATACCTTCTAATCAGTCATACATTTTCATGGTGGTCAGTCACAGGAAGTTAAGCAACTAACAATCAATTCATCAATCATGGTGGTCAGTCACAGGAAGTTAAGCAACTAACAATCAATTCATCAATCATGGTGGTCAGTCACAGGAAGTTAAGCAACTAACAATCAATCAATCAATCAATCATGGTGGTCAGTCACTGGAAGTTAAGCAACTAACAATCAATCAATCAATCATGGTGGTCAGTCACAGGAAGTTAAGCAACTAACAATCAATTCATCAATCATGGTGGTCAGTCACAGGACGTTAAGCAACTAATAATCAATCCATCAATCATGGTGGTCAGTCACAGGAAGTTAAGTAACTAACAATCAATCCATCAATCATTGTGGTCATTCACAGGAAGTTAAGTAACTAACAATCAATCAATCAATCATGGTGGTCAGTCACAGGAAGTTAAGTAACTAACAATCAATCAATCAATCATGGTGGTCAGTCACAGGAAGTTAAGTAACTAACAATCAATTCATCAATCATGGTGGTCAGTCACAGGAAGTTAAGTAACAAACAATCAATCAATCAATCATGGTGGTCAGTCACTGGAAGTTAAGCAACTAACAATCAATCAATCAATCAATCATGGTGGTTAGTCACTGGAAGTTAAGCAACTAACAATCAATCAATCAATCAATCATGGTGGTCAGTCACAGGAAGTTAAGCAACTGACAATCAATTCATCAATCATGGTGGTCAGTCACAGGAAGTTAAGTAACTAACAATCAATCCATCAATCATGGTGGTCAGTCACAGGAAGTTAAGTAACTAACAATCAATTCATCAATCATGGTTGAAAGTTTTTTTCAGGGGAAAAAAATAGAGTACAATCACAAAACCTTTGACCATTGAGTTCCTACCTAACAAGACTAGAATATACTTACCTAAATATACATGGTAACCTTTAATTGTACCATTTATCTGATCTGGAGGATCCCATCCAATTTTTAACTGTGATATTGTGTATCCTACAATTCTTATATTCTGAGGTGCTGTAGGTACTGTAAATATAATAAAAAAGAAGTCACAAATTACTTTAAAACAATGACATTAATTAGGTAATACAGATTCAGTGATGGTTTCATTAAAAACCTGTTAATTGTTTCAGCCGAGTTATAGATACAAAATGCTTACACAATATTCAGTTTTATAAAACTCCCATCTTTTACTATTGGAAACCCCATATTTCAAGAGATTTCTATATATTCCAATCAAAACATTGCAGTACTTTACATTGTCTACTATCTAATTTTCTGAAACACATATATATCAAAAACCTTACCAGCTTCTTCAGTTACTATAGAAACAGGGTCACTAAATGGACTTTCGTCTCCTTCTGTATATGCCCGTAATTTATATGAGTATTGTGCGCATGGATGTAAACCAGTTACATCACAATGTGTTTCTTTACCCGTATAGACACATTTTGTACCTAAAATACAAAATATATGAATTTTAAATTGTGATTTCAAATATTACAATATTGTAAATCTAGAAAATATTATGTTTTAAATTAGATTTTAAAACAGCTAGACAAATTTGCACACTTACCAATTACTTTTGTTTTATAATCCAATCATGAGAGAAATAATTCCAAAAACAAAATAATATAAAAGGTTAAAAGTGTGACTTTTCAATATTTTAAAATTCAATATCAAAACCTTCTATGATTTACACATACCGTCAAATATCTGGTACCTTACAGGGAATCCACTTTTTGTAGAGATAGGATCCCATAAACACCTCACCATATTTGAACCAACCACTGAAACAATAAAAAACATGTTAAATTCAACATAGACTTTGAAATAAGCACATATCAAATGGTCAGTGAGTAAATCAAAAAGAAAAATGATTTTGCAATGCAAAAAAAAACATGCAAAATTTGATTATTCACACTGAACAACTCAGTCATCAATGTTTCTCAATTTAAAAATAGAAGAAAAATTTTATACTCTTTGACCCCTTTTAACTACAGAGGATTCAAAAGCTCCAGAAAAGCTGGCATCTAATATATGTAGACAATATATCTATACCTTCCACATTTGGAGGTGAAGGTTTTTCTAATTTCTTTAATATTTCTAATGTTATACATGCTTCTTCTTTCAAATCTGCATTAATATCTTCCTTTAAAGACACAACCTAAAATGAATAAAGCAAAAAACTGTGTTAATCAAAAAGACATGAGAAGCAATGCACAGATATATATTATATCAAAATTCAACAAATTGAGGATTAGATATTGCTTTTAAAATGACCTCTATAGGGAATGTTGCATGTTGCATGTTTGTTTAATTTAATTACTAGGTCATGTGTAATCAATAACTAATGGCTCCACTAAGTTTTACTGTCCATATTTTCAAATCACTATACCAATTTGGTAAAAATTTAACAAAATCACAGTTTGAATTCACCTCTAAAAACTGATCATCTGGTAAAATAGTTTAGCTCATTGCAAATGAAAGGTTGCTATTATGAAGCAATGCAGTGTATATAAAATTATAATTATCACCCAATTCTAATGACAAACCATGGTTTGGACTTTAGAGAGGGCAGTTAAATGTTGGGTTTCTTCATTTTTTATGTGTCAAAACCTTGTACAAAGTGTTTAAATAAACAGTGAAATGTTCATATAGGGTAAATTTACCAGTAAAATGTCTATCGTGAAAATTGCATAAACTTAACACATGGAATAATTTCCTGATACGATATATCATCCAAGAAATACCTGACATATAATCAGGCACAAACTTTAGCATGCTGTAATTTTTTCTATTTTTCTTAAAAAAGTTATGAGAAAATGTGAAATTTTGAGAGGGAGCTATTGCAAAAATGTAGAAATGGCTAAAACAAATGAATTTGATGATGTTGATAATAATCATAGGAGTGAACATATTCAAGGGAGATAACTGTTCATTATCATATATCAATAGTTCTGAGAAAGTCTGTTTTTCTGGGTCCAATATCATTTTACACACACCTGTGAAATACATGACGTAGGTGTCTGACAGAACAAAAAAGCTCACATTAAATAACTCATCACAGTGAAGATGCTGAACAAATATGAAGTATTTTTGTTAAGTTGTACTGGAGAAAAGTATGACAAAATAATTTTTGAGTTCATTTAACATATGGAAAAATTCAAAGTATCAGCAAACAGGTAGTAGGTGTCTGACAGATCGGAAAAGTGCTCACACATTACCGGTACAACTCATCACAGCTAGGCTACTAACCAAATATAAAGTAAATCTGTTAAGTAGTACCTGAGAAAAGTGTGAAGAAATATATGATAAACAAACAGACAGAAGGACAAGGTGAATGCAATATAGCCCCCACTTTTAGAGTAATGGTACAATATAACGTGATGAAACTTTTCAACCTCCATGTTGAAACAGCCATTATCATGGAACACCTGTATTCAATAACGGAAGTTGATTAATAGCAGGTCATTAAGAAAGAAACATCTATAAGCTGATTTATATCTATTACCTTTAATGAAGGAACAACTTTAGAATGTTCTCTAAGCCTCAGACAGCCTCGAGGTTGACTAGCAAGTGTTCTCAGTGTCCTGTAAAATGTGAACATTTCATTTAAAGTAATATTACAAAATTGAAAATTATGGTAATATCATGTAAAAGAATATTTAGACTGCAGGGCCAACTCACTCACCATATAAATTTTGTCCAAAAGGACTTTATGGAAAGTTTATGAGTGAAAGGCTGAATTCACACTTCAATTAACTCATTTAAAATAACTTATTAGTTATAGGTTTTACAGTAAATTACACATAAGGCATGCCAAACGACTTACATATCATCTATAGTTTTGAAAAAGTGAGGGTGTTTCTCTGCTAAAATCTCACCCAAGGGTGATAGCCCAGAGATGAGATGCAGTTTGAAACATCCTCTTGTTGAGAGACTATAGACAATCTGTTTATTGTTATTTTTCTAGGGCAATGTCAATGACGTTGGCTTATGATGTCATCGTGTTCTCAGTCTACTCAGTCAAGTTGCTTGAAATGGAAATCATCACACAAAAATATAAAAGCACAATATTACAAAATATTGATAAATAAAAGTATGTATAAGATGTTCTTTTTTATGTTAAAATTTCATAAACATTTTTCCACCAAATGATATTACTTACATGGCTGCAAACCAGCCTGTTTCACTGTCCTCTGCATTTAACAGATTGGTTAGAGTATTAATGACATCATCAGAATGGAGATTATTAAGGATTCTTGTATGGCCCTCAGGATTTGTGGCAAGACAGCTTAATGCAAAACATGCATTTTTACTAGCACCAGTGTCTTCACAACATAACATCTTGGCTAAGGCAGATATCTGTGAAAGGAAATTCAAATGATCAAACAAAAACAAAAACATTGCAATTGATGAACTTTGGTGGATAGTTGTCTCGTTGGCAATCATACCACATCTCCTTATTTCTATATATATATACACATCAAAATTTTGCAATTATCTAATTTTTTCAAATTTTCATTCTTAAAAACTAAAATTTAATATTTTCTCTTATGTTCCATATCTGAATTAAACATATGTAAATGATTAATATAATGGACACATCTCATTTTAATAACTTATGTTTATGATTTTTAGTTGTGAGGCAATGCAAAAATTTAAGAAAAAAAGAATCACCTCTTTGTACTTTTTTCTCTCACTATAAAAAATAATAACTAGAGGCTCTAAAGAGCCTGTGTCACTCACCTTGGTCTATATGCATATTCAACAAAGGGCACTCTCCAACATTGTAGACGAGAATAGAATTAATGACAAAAATCTTTGTTTTTTTTTTATCTTATATTGCTGATCATTGAAGTCTGTTTAGTTTCTCCCTATCTTATTTAGCTTTTGCTCCAAACAGAAGAGAGGGTAAAAAAAAAATCATAATTTAAGGGCAATAACTCCTATAAAGAGAAACAGTCTACTAATTATATCGGCAAAATTTGACTTGTTAGTAGGTCTTGTCTTGCTTTTCATTTTTCATAATTTAAGTTTCTATCTATCTATTATAATTTTTATCATATAAGGCAAAACGCAAAAAAAATGGTAAAAATTGTCATTAAAGGGCAATAAATCCAATAAGGAGTCGTCGGACAATTTTCGCCATTTGTCTTAATTGTAGATCTTGTCTTGCTGATCATATTTATTTATTTAAGTTTCTTTCTATCTATTATAAGTTTTAAGATATAAGAAAACAAGCATGCACACACTGAAATGTCTCGCCTTCTTTACTAATCATTGATATTATGTTGATAGTCCTAAATATAAAGCTTTATTACAACTGTCACATAAACTTAACATTAACCAAGTAAACTAAACATTGACCAATGAACCATGAAAATGAGGTCAAGGTCAGATGAACCATGCTAGGCAGGCATGTACAGCTAACAATTCTTCCATACAACAAATATAGTTGACCTATTGCTTATAGTTCAAGAAAAACAGACCAAAACACAAAAACTTAACACTGAGCAATGAACCATGAAAATGAGGTCAAGGTCAAATAAAACCTGCGTGATTGACATATAGATCATAAAATATTTCCATACACCAAATATAGTTGAACTATTGCATATAGTATTAGAAAAAAAGACCAAAACTCAAAAATTTAACTTTGACCACTGAACCATGAAAATGAGGTCAAGGCCAGATGACACCTGCCAGCTAGACATGTACACCTTACAATCATTCCATACACCAAATATAGTAGACCTATTGCATACAGTATAAGAAAAACAGACCAAAACACAAAAACTTAACTATAACCACTGAACCATGAAAATGAGGTGAAGGTCAGATGACACCTGCCAGTTGGACATGTACACCTTACAGTCCTTCCATACACCGAATATACTAGACCTATTGCTTAAAGTATCTGAGATATGGACTTGACCACCAAAACTTAACCTTGTTCACTGATCCATAAAATGAGGTCGAGGTCAAGTGAAAACTGTCTGACGGGCATGAGGACCTTGCAAGTTACGCACATACCAAATATAGTTATCCTATTACTTATAATAAGAGAGAATTTAACATTACAAAAAATCTGAACTTTTTTTTCAAGTAGTCACTGAACCATGAAAATGAGGTCAAGCACATTGGACATGTGACTGACGGAAACTTCGTAACAAGAGGCATCCATATACAAAGTATGAAGCATCCAGATCTTCTACCTTCTAAAATATAAAGCTTTTAAGAAGTTAGCTAACGCCGCCGATGCCGCCGGATCACTATCCCTATGTCGAGCTTTCTGCGACAAAAGTCGCAGGCTCAACAAAAATTGTACAAATCGTCATCAAAGGGCAATTACTCTAATAAGGAGTCAACTGATGATTTCAACCATAAACTTATTTGTTTTGACGTATACTGACAATTGGTAGAGCTCAACATTTTGAATAATTTTACCCTTTCAGATTTCCTCTATTTATAACTGTTATCAGAATAATAGACAAAACTTGCATTTTACCCCATATGTTCTATTTTTAGCCACGTCGTCCATCTTTGTTGGCAGGCGGGGTCAATGGACACATTTTTTAAACTAAATACCCTAATGATGATTGTGGCCAAGTTTGATTCTATTTGGCCAAGAAGATTTTTGTAAAAGTTAACGACGGACGACGGACGACAGACGACAGACGCCAAGTGATTAGAAAAGCTCACTTGGCCCTTTTGGGCCAGGTGAGCTAAAAATATGTCAAATCCTAACAGCTGAGGCTGGTCCTTTTTTCATAGAATATCTGCACAAAATTTCAAAAAGGTCAGTCAAAAGAAACTGAATGTTTTTTTGAAATGAAATAGAAATTAATTTAGCATACAAAAAAACCCAGTAACAGTCCCTTTTGATCTATAATGGATGGTAGCCTAATTAATACTAAATCCACACAAATTTTGAGTAATAGTTACAATCATTTCAAGACTGAATATTGGGACTGTCTCAAGTATTGTTTTATAATTTGTTTAAAAGAAAAAGTGTTTTGCACTTTACGCACTTCATATGGTAGTCCGTTCCATAAAACTGATCCAGAATAAGCAAAAGATTTTTTAAACAGTTCAGTTTTTGGCTTAGGAACTATCAAATTACCTTGAGTGACACCCCTTAAAGCATAAGGATTATTAACAGATATAAGTTGAAACTTTTGAAGTAGGTACTGTGGTGCTTCTTTCCGCATAAATATATGTAGCAGTAAATATTTGTGGTATTTGATTCTGTTTTCAACTGTCATCCATCCAAGTTCTTTAAATAAGGGGGCTGATGGGGATAAAGGGTCTGCATCAAGAATTAATCTTGCTGCTATTTTTTGAAGTTTTAATATTCTTACCATCCCTTCATTTTTACATTCTCCCCAAACAATACAGCAGTAATCGATGAGCGGCATAATATACCCATTATAGTATGCTTTCCTGGTATTAATATCTAAAAATTTCTTTAATTTAGAAAGAAGGTATATTCTTGATGAAATGCTAGCACAGATTTGATCAATTTGATTTGTCCAGCTAAGTGTGCTGTCAATTTTAACACCTAATAATTTTTCACATGATGAATTTTGTAGTGTTTCTGAATTTATTAGTAAATTTGGTTGAAAAGATTGAGTTGATAACTTCTGACTTGTTCCAGTAACCAAACATTTTGTTTTTTTGGTATTGATGAACATATTATTCATTTTGCACCATTCTTCAACTCTGCATAAATCTTCTTGTACATCATTATGTAAATTTTCTATGTTTTTCCCGGAATTATGAAGAGTAGTATCATCAGCATACAAGTCTGTTTTACAATTTTTAATGCAAAGGGGAAGGTCATTTATAAATAAGACAAATAATAGAGGACCTAGTATAGATCCTTGGGGGACACCAAATTTCACATCTTTTTTATCAGAATTAACATTGCAAATGTTTACTTGATGTGTTCTATTACTTAGGTATGACCTGAAAAAACTTACTGCAGACTCACTGAATCCGTAAATAGCAAGCTTTAAGCAAAGAATGTCATGATCTACAAGATCAAATGCTTTTTTGAAGTCCAACAGTATTGCTAGGTTTAAATTACCATCATTCATTTCTTGCAGCCATTTGACAATGATATCAATAAGTGCAGTTTGACAAGAATGATGTGGCCTGAACCCTGATTGTGTAGGATGTAAAAGTTTAAATTTAGACAAATACTTGTACATGTTATTTGAGACATGTCTTTCTAATACTTTTGATAGAGATGGAAGAACAGATATTGGTCTGTAATTTGTTGCTAAAACCTTGTCACCATCTTTGTAAACTAACTGGTGTTACCTTAGCATTTTTCAGTAATGAAGGAAAAATGATGATTGTGGCCAAGTTTTATTCTATTTTGCCCAGTAGTTTCAGAGGAGAAGATTTTTGTAAAAGATTACAAAAATTTACGAAAAATTGTTAAAAATTGACTATTAAGGGGTCAATTGACAATTTTGGTCATGTTTAACTTATTTGTAGATCTTATTTTGCTGAACATTATTGCTGTTTACAGTTTATCTCTATCTATAATAATATTCAAGATAATAACCAAAAACAGCGAAATTTACTTAAAATTATCAATTCAGGGGCAGCAACCCAACAACAGGTTGTCTGATTTGTCTGAAAATTAACAGGCAGATAGATCTTGACCTGATGAACAGTTTTACCCTGTCAGATTTGCTCTAAATGCTTAGGTTTAAGAGATATAAACCAAAATCTACATTTTACCCCTATGTTCTATTTTTAGCCATGGCGGCCATCTTGGTTGGTGGTCCGGGTCATCGGACACATTTTTTAAACAAGGTACCCCAATGATGATTGTGGCTAACTTTGGCCCAGTAGTTTCAGAGGAGAAGATGTTTGTAAAAGTTAACGACGGACGACGGACGACAGACGACGGACGCCAAGTGATTAGAAAAGCTCACTTGGCCCTTTTGGGCCAGGTGAGCTAAAAATATGACAAATCCTAACAGCTGAGGCTGGTCCTTTTTTCATAGAATATCTGCACAAAATTTCAAAAAGGTCAGTCAAAAGAAACTGAATGTTTTTTTGAAATGAAATAGAAATTAATTTAGCATACAAAAAACCCAGTAACAGTCCCTTTTGATCTATAATGGATGGTAGCCTAATTAATACTAAATCCACACAAATTTTGAGTTGCGAACCTTACTAAGTCTGAACTCTATTTAGTGCCTACTGATCAAATGACATTTGCAAAACTTTAGGTTTGTACAGTCAAATTTTGAATCAGTGTTTTAGCTATGATTTTAGGGCAGATGGGTAATGTTTTAAAATGATGGGCATGATAGCGAAGTTTCTTTTCTAAAAAACAGTCAACTTGATCATGTTAATAGATAAAAATTTAAATCATTGAATAAATTAATGTATTAAGGGGTACTGTTGTGAAAAAATAAAAAAAATTTTTGCACTGAAAGTATTAATTTATTTTACTTCAGAAAACAAAAATGTATAGGGCAAGTTTATAAGGGTAGATGAGTGCACAGAAAGGGCAGAGGGGAGCTGTGTCCCTCAATTTTGGTCTAGCGAGGACACTGTTTATGTAGTGATAATAAAAAATTACAGCAATACATATTGGTATTTATAACAAACCATTCTCTCTGACTCCACCAGTTGCAGTAGTCTTTTTCTTCCTTCCTCCATATCACACAGTCTTCCAATAGCAAATGCTGCATTCATACCTCTCCCTGTATATAATCAAACATATAGTTAAACATATAGTGTTTTATATACAATTAACATATTATGATAGAATATAAATTGAAAATGTTCAGATAAAGACATAAATTATGTAATTATACCATATATCTAGGGCTACACTACACTTCACTTTGAAGAAAAGTATCATAGTTCAGGCCTAAATATTTGTTTTGATGCTCTAAAATTTATTTGATGTTTTTGATATCTTAATCCTATGGTCTTAATCATACCAGATGAATGTTATTTTAAAAATCAGTAATGCACATTAAAATGTTGGTTGAACAACAATGAATTAGGGCTACCATAATGAGTTGTTTGACAAATACTAGATAAGTCTGTAATTCTAAAACAATATAGTACACATTTCCTAAAGACTCTTTAGGATGTACATAGGTCAGGTTTAGGAATTTTGGTCAGATGTTCGAACTCCTTGGTTTTTTTCCTAAGATACAAGGTAAAATATTTTGCCCCATAACACCAATTTTTCTTTTCACATAAGACTTCAATTGCTCATAAAAGGTCAATTACCAAAATTTAAGCAGATTCTAGATTAATTTTCTTTCGATTTGAGACCCAAATAATACCAATGCAAATAAAAGGTAAAAGATCGAGTCAGCCTTTTCCCGCCATTTTTTTTAAATCAAATATCTCGGAGGACCTCCAACCTATCAATATTTTCAACTTATTTTGTTCCTTAACTAATGCTCTTCTGACTTATAGTATCAATTTTAAATTCTATATTTTTTTAATTTCACCTAAGTACATCCTTAAGGATTTGACTCAGCACTATCTGTGATATTGGTTGAGGATTATTCCATAAACATAGATGTGGGAGGGAGGGTAGGAAGTGACCTGACTCTCAAAATCCCCCATATAATAACCAACATAATTTCTTGAGTTGTTTTGCAAACATTCAATGAACATACATCCATAAAAGACCAATGTGAAAAAAATTTAAAAATCCTTTCTTACTCTCCCATGCCCATTTTAATGTAATATCTCTGATTTCACCTTTGTTTTATTATGTGAGCTTTTACTGACATAGTTTAGTTGTAAGCTATCCACATATATTGTTTGTCACTAGTTGGTTCATAAATATGTTTTTGTTGTTTTTGTTTTATCTCAGAGATTCATTTTTCCAATTTTTTGATTTTCCAGAAAGTTTTCACAGGCTTCCCCAGCTAGCATATTTATAGTATTCAGAATTTAACCAATGCAAGAGAAAGGTATATCCTCAGGTAATGTCCTTGTATGTATATGGATTGATTGTTGTTTGCTTAACAGTGACAAGTATTTCATGCATTTCAAGACGAGAAAAAAAATTAACAATTCATATAATAGGTAGGCTCCACAATAGGAGGTCAATCTGGAATAAAGGACAGCAAATTTGGAATGCCATTGGAAAATATATGGGTATATTGGATAGGGACAGAAATTTAGCCTTGGAACAGCCCAACAATGAATCCCCCAACGTTTGCAGTGTGTGTGGCACTGTCTCTAAATGAAAAGAATATGAAAAAAATGATATAAAATGAACGTATTTATGTGAATGGAAATGAATAAGAAAACCAGAATGGAATGGAAAACAAAAGGGAAACAAGATCTGACTACCACAGGAAATGTGTGTTTTTTTTTAGCCCAAAATTTTTGTTCATTCTGAAGGACAGTGGTTAATTTAATACATCTCACACAAACATGGATGCCAGTTGCAAGCCGTTTGTTTGACTTATAGTGATACAGTACTGAAGACTTTGAAACTAATCATTATTACATGTACTATAATGGGGACAGAACATATTTTACCTGCTTCATCAACACCAAGTGACTGTACTATCTTTGACAAAATTTGTTGTGAATTATCATGTTTAAGCACACTTAGGCAACCATTTTCGGATATACTTAATCTGGAAAATAAAAGAGAAAAAAATTACAAAATCATTGAGTATAACAAAAACATATGTTTCAGATTTCTGTGCACATGTCACATGATAAGAGTATACTGTACCCTCATTAGGTAAACTAAAGACCAAAAGCCAAAAAAGCCAAAAAAAATTGACAGAAGAATCTAAGATCAACTTTTCCTAGTCATAAGTGAATTAGAACCTTTGATATATAGTAAAACAAGAATGTGTCCATAGTACACGGATGCCCCACTCGCACTATCATTTTCTATGTTCAGTGGACCGTGAAATTGTGGTCAAAACTCTAACTTGGCATCAAAATTAGAAAGATCATATCATACGGAACATGTGTACTAAGTTTCAAGTTGATTGGACTTCAACTTCATCAAAAACTACCTTGACCAAAAACTTTAACCTGAAGCGGGACAGATGGACGGACGAACAGACGAACGGACGAAAGAACGCACAGACGGAAAAACATAATGCCCCTAAGTGGGGTATAAAAAGTTAAAGATAATATGTAAATTAGCATAAAATAACCAACTTTTGGACTAGAGAGTACCTGGCAAAGATTATATCAGAAACATTGTTTATGCACACAACAATTGGCATCATATGTTCATGTTATGACTTTTGAGTTTATCATGTTACTTAGCATTGCACCCACATGCACAAAGTTCAACAATACATGTCACTATCCTATCATGAAATCGACTTATTTTTTATCCTTAATAATTCCTGATTCCTTGACATTGTGAAATTATATTGTAACTCTTACAATGACTGATAAGCTTAATAAAATGTAAGCATTTTTAGATTATAAATAATATAATATCATAAATTCATTAGATCTTCAAATACTTTAACTGATAATTGAAACCTTATACAATTGTAAATTTAATTTTATTGCACTTTCCTCAAATAAAATACAAACAAACTGAAACTTTGCTAAGTATTATGTCAATACACTTGTAAAAGTCTTAGCAACCCTAACCATTCAAGTCACTGTTTGCAAAGTGCACTTCATAAATTTTGTAAACAGACTTTCTGAATTACGGTGACCCTCATCAATACATTGCAAACCATTTAATGGTTTACTCTATATACCATAAGAGGAGCAAAACATTTCAATAGTGATCAAAGTCTGACATTTATTTCTTAACTATCATGATGTAAATATATTGCTTTCATCTAAAAGTTTGAGATCTGGACTTCAAAATAATCAATATATACTACAGTAGAGTTCATCATTTGCTGCTGTCATTATCATATAAGTTCTGAAAATTATTTTACTAAAAAATTATTAAATCAGACCTCCTAAATGTGTAGGTTATGTATAAGCATGGTGTACTTCACATTTCAGTTTTCCTCTTTCTTACCTATTCTATAATAGAAAGAGCAACAACTTTGTAAGCATGCAGGGATATATTTATTGTAAAGCGAAAATTTTCGCAAGGAGTTTATATTGTGATTAAGTTAAAAAAAATATCTCAACATTTATTTGTTCTTAAAGGAGACCATCATCATGAGCAAGATATTAGAAGATAAAAATGAAAGAAAAACCTTGCTAGGAATTCACAACATCTAAATCCTGCAAAAATAAACCATTTCACTGTAAAAGTAATAGAATTTTTTGGAAGAACAAGAGTTTTTATGGCAGTCTACATATCAACAATATAAAGAAATCTTGTATCATTTTATATTTAACTTAAAACCCCTATAGTAAAGCATCTCACTGTTCACATATACCATATGAAGGGATAGGGTATATCATTTTGTTTGCCTTCCTTACCTAGCTAAGACCAGAGCAGCATTGCTGGCTGTCCACATGTTTTCAGCATGTAAGAGAAACGTGACTCTTGTTAACATATCATTAAGGCATGGCTCACTTAACATCCATTCTCGGCCTTCATGACTCTCAGCCTAAAACAAACATGGTTTTAAAAAATAATTACCAATTCTTTTTAAAGTTTATACAAAAGAAGACTTTAAAAGAAACATAAGAAATGTAATACATGTACATTGTACATGTATATGTGAATTTAAAAATGCAGCATTATTACAGAGTTAGACTGTAAGCCTCTTCATTATACTTAATTTATTAATCACCTTTCAAGTTATTCCTTCAAGAATTTGATGTTATAATATGCAAAATTTAACAAATTACATCATAGAAAGCTATTAAATTTATTGCCAACTTTTCTAGATTCATTTAGGTCTATTTATACATCTTGACAAATTGTGAGGACGCTTGTCTGCTGTTGAAGACCAAAGGTTGACATATATATGTCTTTGGATTTTTTATGTAGTTGGGAGAATCCTTTTATTCAAATACCCCTTTAGTATTATATGTATAAAGTAAATGATTTTATGACCATTATAATAGCATAAAACATATTAATACTATTCACTTGATCTCGCCATTTTTAATCTATAGTACATGTACATGTATCTGAGATAACACAAATACCTATTAAGAAAATAAACAAGAGTGCACACGCTGATATGTCTTGCCTTCTTTACTAACCATTGATTTTATGTTGATAGTTCTAAATATAAAGCTTTACTACAAGTAACACATAAACTTAACATGATCCAAGAAAATGAGGTCAAGGTCAGATAAACCAAACGAGAAATACATGTACACCTTACAATCATTCAATAGCCCAAACATAGTTGACCTATTGCTTATAGTTTCTAAGAAACAGTCTTAACCAAGAAAACTTAACATTGACCAATGAACCATGAAAATGAGGTCAAGGTCAGATGAACCATGCCAGACAGACATGTACACCTTACAATCAATGTACGCATTAAATATAGTTGACCTATTGCTTATAGTATCTAAGAAACAAACTTAACCATGAAAACTTAACATTGACCAATGGACCATGAAAATGAGGTCAAGGTCAGATGATACCTGCCAGACAGACATATACACCTTACAATCCTTCCATACAACAAATATAGTTGATCTATTGCTTATAGTTATAGAAAAACAGACCAAAACACAAAAACTTAACACTGAGAAATGAACTGTGAAAATGAGGTCAAGGTCAAATAAAACCTGCGAGACTGACATGTACATAATAAAATATTTCCATACACCAAATATAGTTGACCTATTGCATATAGTATTAGAAAAAAAGACCAAAACTCAAAAACTTAACTTTGACCACTGAACCATGAAAATGAGGTCAAGGTCAGAGGACACCTACCAGTTGGACATGTACACCTTACAATCATTCCATATACTAAATATAGTAGACCTACTGCTTATAGTATCTGGTATATGGACTTGACTACGAAAACTTAACCTTGTTTACTGATCCATGAAATGAGGTTGAGGTCGAATGAAAATTGTCTGACGGGCATGAGGACCTTGCAAGGTACGCACATACTAAATATAGTTATCCTATTACTCATAATAAGAAAGAAATAAACATTACAAAAAATGTTGACTTTTTTTTCAAGTAGTCACTGAACCTTGAAAATGAGGTCAAGGACAATGGACATATGACAGACGGAAACTTCATATCATAAGGCATCTATATACAAAGTATGAAACATCCAGGTCTTCTAGCTTTTAAAAAATAAAGCTTTTAAGAAGTTAGCTAATGCCGCCGCCGCCGGATCACTATCCCTATGTCGAGCTTTCTGCGACAAAAGTAGCAGGCTCGACAAAAATTGCACATGTTTTGTATTTCCATAAAAGTATAAGATTTTAAATGAAAAAGTAATGTCATAACTTATTTTACTTACCAAAGTTCCCATAGTTCCAGCAGCATTCATAACACTCTCAGAATCATCAAAGCCTAACATATTTGTCAGGTCAGGTAATATTCTTTTACTTTCGGCATGAGGACTTTTAGATAGACCCAGAATTCTGTAGCATCCAAGCTCAGATTCAGCCAAAGTTCCAATAATGTATGCTGCATTTCCTGCAACTCTGTTGATAAAAAAAAATCAAAAACTACTAATAATGTGCAAAATGAATAAAAAGTTTCATCAATCAAATCCAGTCATTCTGCAGACTGAGTAAAGACTAAGCTTACCAGAGTTGAAAGGAAGCTACATGTTACTGTAACCAAACCTGACAATATATTATAATTTTATGAACATCTGTTGATAGAAACTGTAACATTGTATGACTATCAATGCTAGATGTTAAATTTATGAAAATAAGTCAAGAGTCCCTTTAATATTGAATGAAGATTAATTCTAGAAGTGAAATTCTAATACATTTGACATGTAATGATGTTATGATTGGATAATGTGACTGTCTGCTGTCAATATCCATTATCTGGTAAAAAAATTATTTTAAAAATGTATATAAGACACACTTTTATTGGTATGTATATGATCCCTCTGCATTTTTTTTTTTTATGTAGAATGAACTCAAGTTATGTTATCAACGCAGAAGGTTCTGATACTTTTTAATAGGAATAAGAAGCCCAAACATTATGCTAAATACCCTAAGGATCAATCGGCCTAAGGTTGGTTGAAATTGGTCTTGTAGCTTCATAGAATTTTTTTCTTAAAGTTTAACTTAACGAGGACATGATGAGATGATGGATGCCAAGTGATGGCAAAAGCTCACTTGGCTTTTTATGTTAAAATCCATATATTCAGAATCTAGTTTCTGAAAATATCTATCTAATATACAGATTAAAATGTCTTTTACTTCAATTGTTGCCCCTGTTTCTAAGGAAAACACCAATTTAAGACATTGATTTCAAAAGGATATTGAAAAACAATCATCACCTCATACAACATATTCCCGTTATTAATTCAACATTAAAATACAATTCTGAAAAACAGGTCAATTGCCTTTTAAATGTCTCATGGTGTTTAAGTCACGACTGAATGTAAAAAATAAGAAATAATGCAAGAATTTAAAATCTGCAGTGGAACTGACAACTTTCGGGAATTCTTAGTCAGTTTCTTAAACAAGTTATCTGACAGAAAAATAACTTTAACATTTATTCAAATGAATTTCAGACTAATCCACAGCTCAATGTTTCCCCTTATAAAATTTAACATAATTTTTAAGGACTTTTCATAAAATTTTAAGTTTTCTAGGCTACCCAGTAGACTTTAAAGTTAAGAAAAATATCAGACTTTTTAAGAAATTCGGGACTCATTTAGTAACCATACTTACACTAAGTTAGAGGAAAATGAAATGTAAATTATGATAATTTTGTGGGAGGCTGTTATATATGCTTTCTGAAGATCATGGATTACCAAATTAGACAACTTTAAATCATGTTAGGACTTGAACTCACAATCTCTGATATAACATTATCTTAACCATGGCAACTGCAAATGGGAAAGCAAATATTCATGAAGAGAGTATTATAACAAAATCCTCTCTATCTTATAAAGAAACCAACTTTTAAAGTGGAATATTGATAAAAAGCTTCAAGAGAACTATACTTACCAAAACCTTATTGTATTAGCAAACAAAAATAATTGTAATGATTATTGTCAAAGTTTGAATTGGAAGGTTTAAATCTTAATGCACTGAACTTTTCATTATTTTGATATTTGAAACTTCAGTATGTTTGAAAGTTAAAAATAATTTTCAATTATTTGCATCAAAGGTTATGACAAATTTCAATAAGATTTCTCAAATTTCTGTTCACAGGAGATTAACATGTACAAAAGGTATATATGTACTGTTGGTAAAAACACCTGTTTATCAGAACTGAAATGAACAATGTTTATAACATAAAACTGAGAAGATCAAATAATGTGTGGCTTAGGATTCTTCTCAAGCAATGTAAGAATGCCTAAGGGGGAAAAAATATATATTTCATACAAGAAATTGTGTCTAAAAAACTTAAATGCCAGTTTTACGCCTGGACATTTGATACCGTTCATATCGATCGTCTCTTGAAACTTATAAATCAATTGCTTACTGTAGAAAAAATTAAGTTCATTTGTGGATTTGTAGAATCTAGAAATCAAGGCGGTAAATGATAAAGAAAAAAAAAGTTCTCTGCTAAAATCTATCCCAGACCACCAATAAATGCTAAGAATGCTAAGAATCCAAGGATTATTATTCTAGGACCTGTTGGAACTATTTTAGAAGAAAGGATAAACATATAATTAGTCCACAGTAATCATGCTTTCAACAAGAGCCGGAGGTGGTACACAGTCTGTAAACTGAGAGTATATGAGCTCCAGTTACATTTGAAACATTTTAAAATATGTATAGCATGATAAGCAGGTCACTTGGCTATCTTCTTAGAAGTAAGTGAGCTTGCTCAATAAAAAGTGCACCTTCATGAAAGTTTAAATTATCTTACATCTTGTTATACATGAGACATGTGAATACGATGTCAACTTGAAACAACCTCAGCAAAGTGCAAAAAATAGGTCAAAATAACCTACTCACTAAAGTTTCCCTGTATCCATTATAAAAAAGGAGATGTGGTAAGATTGCTAATGAGATAACAAATATAATCCACCAGAGACCAAAGGGTCCATGCTTAGATGATACTGGGATTTACAATTAACCTACTTTTTGTTTTTGGAGTCCCATACCAAAAACAAGGTCGGGACCAAAAAGTTCTTTTCATTACAACGAATACACATTTGTATCTCACAAGTTTAAAATTAACTAATTCATCAATTGCTTGTTTGGAATGACGTCGACTGGAATTTTCAAAATAGCATATTGGATTAGAAATATTTGTGATACTATTCCCAGATTTCTGGTTGCATTGGGAAAGTGGGTTATTAATTATGTGGATCCCCCTATATTAGGCAATGATGGCAAAATGCAGGGCATTCAAAATTATCTTTTTGAGGTCTTCCCACCCCTCTTCTCAAAAATATTTGCTCTTCTTTCATATTACTGTAATATACTGTCCATTTGGATATTGCCAGGCAAGCAACAAATTGTCGATCTTTTGAGATTATTATTTTCATGTGACTAAGATTTAAATTCTATTACATGTATGTTGTTAATAACATTTTAATCATTCCACCACAAATTAAAACGCTACCTTCATTATTCAATAGCTGTCATATTAGGCTTTATCATAGGTTGGCGGCACTTCCATTTATTTAAGTTCACAAATCTGTTTACTGAAAACTATATATTCGTAGACCATAATCCTCATAAGTATTTTTCTAAATCATTACAAACATTAACATATACTGATAATCCTTTCCTTTAATTGTTAAATTGCCAGACTAGAATAAACATACAAACAATTAACAAAGTGGGATATATATAGACAAAGATAAAAATACCATACAACTAAGTTTTTCGACTTATAAATTTTAATGCCCCCTGGTATCTCTTCTCTTTTTTTATATGTATCGAGTAAATTTGAGTTTTGTTTTTGACTTCCAACACTAGAGTTTCTAAATTAATTTAATTATTATCATTTAAAAAAACATAAATTAATGAAAAAATAAAATTTCTGGAAATTCTTTTTTTTAAATTTAAATAAAATAATCTCTCTATCATTAATCATTTAATCTTAAGTTACCATAACAGTTACTTTGAAGTGTGATTTATCCTGAATTATGCAATAATCCCCCATAAACTACTTAACACATCATGACATCCTTCAATTTAATATTTATATCTTTCCCAACAATACTTTGCATTATAATTTACAATAGTGTGTAACAATTCAAAGCACAGTGTATGACCTTCATGTTAATACATTTCTGACAATTTCTACATATATTTTTTTACGGTATACAAAACCCATAGGGTAATTCGCTTGCCAGTCTTTGAAAATCCCCCTTGCTGATGTTGAGTGAATCACTGGGAAACATATTTAACAAGAATGCATCCATAGTACACGGATGCCCCACTCGCACTATCATTTTCTATGTTCAGTGGACCGTGAAATTGGGGTCAAAACTCTAATTTGGCATTAAAATCAAAAAGATCATATCATAGGGAACATGTGTACTAAGTTTCAAGTTGATTGGACTTCAACTTCATCAAAAACTTTAACCTGAAGCGGGACAGACGGATGGACGCACAGACCGAAAAACATATTGCCCCTCCAATATTGTAGGTGGGGCATAAAAATTGTTCAACTACAGCAAAAGTTATTATATTGAAATTAACTGTCTTCAGACAACAATAATGACATTAATGCCAGCAAAAACACTAGTAAAGCACCACAACAATCTGTGGATACTACATTGTATAAAGTCATACACATTAATACAATATTTTTAAACATTTCAACATTAGGAAGATCCCTCAAACTGAGTTCAGGAGGTCTTATATGCAAAGCAATCTGTCTAAAATTATGTATTCTCTTTTGTCAAAGAACTGAAATTATTTTCAAAGATCATGTCATTTCTATGGCATTAAATCTAACATGCATAAAATTTGCTGGGACAACCATTTATTAGGTTTAACTTGTGATCATTGCAATTGTGCCATTGACATCAGCTTTCACACAAAATGATCAACCTGAAAGCCTAAACCATGTTGGTTTTAAAATGAAATGCAAATTAAGGACAAATTTGATTCCAACAATAGTTTAGATTGAATATATATATCTACTTAAATTTATAAGGTGATCTGTCTAATGCCAATAATCACCCATTTAAAATTCTAAACATCTTTCACCATTTACGCAATATTCAATTCTGCATTTCCAAATATTTAAAAACCATATTGATAGTACGCTATTAGAAAATATAGCAATCTCAGTTGAAAAGAAAATTTGATTTGATATATGCAACAGTCATTAACTTTTAAAAGGATTTGTTACATACAGAAAACCATTTACATTTGTACAATAAGTTTTTAGCATGTTTAGTAACACAACTTTAATTATGGTATGGTTTCAAATGAAATAAATTTTACACATTAATCACATATATTGTATTTATTGTTACAAGACATTATAAGTTATCTACGTTCATTTTCCTTCAGTACCCTATACACCCTTCGGCTTCGTC